CGCAGGTCGACCGCTGCCACGCACAGGTCGAAAATACCTCGCGACGCGAACGTTCGCCATCTCCGGCGCTGCTGCGATTTCAGCGACCAGACGGCGATTTGGAGGTGTCCCGATGAATTTCAGTCCCGTGAGATCGTGTCTTCGGCTGGTGACGAGTATATTCGTATATCCGCGACAAACCGGACCCCCTTCGAAAACTCGGGTACGCCGCGAGAATTTTGCAACTGCCAGCGTAACTTTCTTCGCTCACCCCTGTTTACTCTCAATTGTTACTGCTTTTTTTCTCTCCTTTTTTCTCACGGCCCGGAATTCTCTCGCACCCGAATAACGCGGAGCTACATATACTACATATACGCTCGTTTTACCTGTGTTTTTATCATGGGTTATAAGAACGGGACATGGGAAGGTTGCTCGTCGGATACGTCGCTCGGGAAATTCCCTTGTAAGGGAAGCTACATCCTCTCTCTCTCTCTCTCTCTCTCTGTCTGTCTGTTTCTCTACTTTACTCCTTCTTCCTCTAGTCGAGACATTAAACTTTATCACGTGATAAGCTTGTCGATTTTACGAGGATTAAAAATATTCCACGCACTGCACTATGGACCGAAAGTGAATCTTAAATATCTAAGTGGATTCCGATATAAATTCGCGCCCGAATGTTTTCATTTTTGTCTCCTAACCCTTTTCCGAAATGCAATGCAACGCACGGGGTGTAATAAAAAGTCGCTGTACGGCCGCGGTAAAATGCGGACTTTATCTAATGGAGAAAGTAAACGGTGCGGCGATGTTTATTAAACGCTCACGAGCATTTTCGTTTCCGTCCGCGGTCCTGTTTTCTGTAAAACGCGATACGCCACGGCGTGATGCAACGTTAACGCCGAATCGCTGCCCCGAGAAGCGGATATTAATAGCGAAATTAACGGTGCGGCGACATTTATCAAATATTAGCCCGTTTCGCCACTGATTTCATTCACTGTGAATTGCACACAGCGAATCAAACGGTCCTTTCTCTCTTTTTTTTTTTCACGAAGAGTGAAAATTCTTTTTGTAGAAATGGAAAACTAATTAATTCGTTCAGTTTTTACCTTTGCTCAATTAGCAAATTAATTACCGCGTGTTCCACAAAAAAGAACATGAAAAGAGAAAAAGTGCAAAAAATAAAAGCGGTAAAGTATTTAAATAGAGAAATATTTAAATACATAGTTTTAAAGTGCAATCATAGGTGATGGCAATTTCGTTTAATGGTATTAAATTATTAATTTGCAGTTTTAGTTTAATTGCAGTATCAAATATGTAGAATATATTTGGAATTTAATTTATTTCAGTTTTTAATTATGGTTTTGAATTATTAGTTTTCAGTTTTTCAAATGAAAGTTTTATTTATTTTTACAAAGTTGAGAAAGAATAAAGTGAAATATAGGGAATCACGACGCGTTACATATTGGTGTCATAAAATTATAATTATAATTATTGTCATAGTGTCATAAAATTATAATTATAATTATAATATAATTATAATTATTAGTATAGTTAATTTACTAACTGATCAATTGTATGTCAACTACGTTTTAATTATGACATGAGGGGGTAAATTCTGGAAAGGAGAGGAAAAATAAGATACTGTAAAATGACAAAAATGACGAAAATGATGAAGAAATGTATATACATATAGTTTTAAAGTTTCGGAAAAAATTATATTCCCAATTCTTCCACAGATTTCTTCATTTTCTGTCTCAGAAGTACAAAAATTCGTTTGGAAAAAATTCATGTGCGTTCGATTGAAACCTCCCACATTTACTTCCTTCTGTAAAGAAGATAAGAAACCAGAAAATCCGCGAAGAAAGCGGAAAAAAACAAAGTTCTATCCGGAACTTGAAAAGTATATATATACAAACCGGGAATCAAGCAACACTTTGCCGAGATAATTATAATCCGTGAAAAAAAAGTCTCATCAACTCGGGGGCGCGAAACAGCCGTCGCGTTTGTTCGATTCTGTTAGAGTTTGCTCTTCGTGCAAGATGAGACCGAGTCGTGCCACTCGTGCTCAGTGTCGTTAACGCGGCGAGCACCAGCAACGAGCAGAAAATAAACGGAAACTTTAAATTGCATCGATTAACTCGCCCACGGAGTCACGTTCGAGAGGACGGCGATGAGAGGAAGGCGAACGAACGTGGGTGGATGGATGAATGCGAGAGGGGCGGATGGAATTTCTTGCTGTGTTCGCGAATCGGTGCTTCCTCCCTTCCACCCCAAATACGGATGATGTGTTAAAAGAGAATCTCGTTAAAGTATGTGACACGTTACGTGAGCCCGAGGAGAGTTTAAAAGATGACAAAGTAGATGCCGGCACCACGCACGTACATACGTACAGGCTGCAGCTTGCTCGACGTAACGACCCTTACATCCCCATTTATGGCTTCCTATCCTTTGAAAAGCTCGCTGGTAATAAATGATAGCGGAAGTAACCACGTAGTTTCGCTGAGAGACAGAAAGAGGCTAAGGGGAGGGAGTGGGGAGTGTCGGGGCTTCGGGGATGAGAAAATAGAGTAAATGGTGAGTGCGGCACTTTTTTCCGGCGGCGATTCGCGCGCTCCGAGACGCGGCGCGGCGCGGTAATTACGCGTGGAAAATTAGCTCGTCGGATCGTTACGTGCGTGAGGTTAATAACGACGCGCCGTTTTGTGAGAAGCGTCCGACTATCGCTGAACCTGCGCGAGACGCGAGCGAACGAGCGAAAGAACGAGGGAGAGAAAGAGACAGAGAGAAAGGGGGGGAGGAGAAATTGCGATTATTATGCCACCCCTGGTCAGGATAACCTCGTCCTGCAGTTCCCGGCGAAACCGAGCGTTTCGGCGCGCGCGATGTAACGCGATGGTTGATAACGATTACCATGTAACTTCCGAGAGCGTAGCCGAGTAGTGTAGACTCGCATGCGAGAGACGAGCCATTATTCCCGTGCATACGATAAGTCGGAAAGAGAATAGCGGTAAAAGGGAACGAGGAGAAGACGGGGGAGAGTTAGGTAGCGTGTGACGCCAGGGAAACGCGAAAGGAGGAGAATGAGAGGCGCAGGTACGGAGAATATTACTCGGGCACAAAGGACCAGACGTCACCGCTGCCGCAACAACTTCCGGTACAAATTGCGGAGCTTCAGCGCGCGACTCAAATTTCAGATAACTGCAACTACCAACAATTTCTAAAGATAGCGGATAGGTACACGCGGGGATACCCGTTGAGAGAGAGAGAGAGTCGGATTACCAGCCGACGGCGTTTAAGACGCCAGTGACATCTTCTTCGGGAGAATTTCAAACAATTTAATTATTCAACACGCTCGAATACGTAATTCCACGCCAAACTATCCNCCCCCCCCCTAACAAAAATCCCACCCAACTGTATATTCCCTCTGACTTTTAAGGTAGTTACAGTGCTCCGTGCCGTATTTTCAGTGACGCATCAAGGGGGCTATTCATAAACTGTTTTGTATTTATCAAGCAAAATTACGTTCCATTACATACAATACATATATTTCACCACCTAATAATAAATGTTAACTTGAAACGTTGAGAAACGAAGCTAAGGTAAACATATTTAATATACACACATATAAATACGAAAATATTATTATATTTTTATTTTTCCTCTTAATGTGCTATTTCTATGCGTTAGTTGATCTAATAGAGATGCACATATAATAGCAAAAGGTATACAAATTTAAATATGTCCATATGTATGCGTATTTCGAGTATTATTACAAGTTATGAAATTTACACCGCTGTATTTTCAAAACAAAATTGTCAATAAGTCTAAAATTGTTGTATAATATCTCTATATTAGTCCTTAATATCACAATATCCATTAAAACCCTAAATATGGTTCAGAGGAAATAGAAATTAAAAATAGAACAGGGCTCGAAATTATTTGTATAAAAGTATAAAAGTAGACTTTCCATTCTACTTCGCGACTGAAAATGACACTTTTATACGTTCCTTGAGATTAATGTTCTATTTCAGTGCTCGGAATTATTTATATAAACGAGACGATTTTCAAGAGCTACGCTTCTTTATTTCCTCTTGCTTCTTCAGGCAGACCACACAACTGGTAGTCGCGACGATTAGTCTGAACCGTTGATATTACGAAATTCGTCGGTTCTGCGGCCTGAGAGGCGAGCTGGAGCGGCAAGAGGAAGTAAAGAGTCCTCGAAAATCGTCTCGTTTATATAAATAATTCCGAGCACTGAAATAGAACATTAATCTCAAGGAACGTATAAAAGTGTCATTTTCAGTCGCGAAGTAGAATGGAAAGTCTACTTTTTTTTTCTACGCCGGGATATAAAAGCAGATTTACGCGCGCGATACGATGTCGAAGGTGCAAAGTTAAGCGGAAGTACGCTTTTCATAATTTCGCGCGTATCTTTCGAGCGCACGTCCTGCTTTCCCCTTTATTGCTCCCGCAAAATGATGTCATTTTGACGTCATCTTCACTTTTATATGACATTTTATTTTACTTTAGTTGCAAATATCTCAGCTTTCGAATTGTCAATCCTTTTCTAATTGCGCTAATAATTAGGTCATATTTAAATCTATATACAAGATTCAACGAATTTTTTAAAAAGTCAATTATGCTAAAAACTCATTTATGCTAATACTACCTTAATCGCGCGTTCTCGCTGTACCTCGTACTTTTTCAGTTCACCACTTTCTCCGCTTCCCTCCTCAGTTGCATTAAGATTCCTCTAGTTTCTAGAATGTTTCTTTTTGATTCGAATGGATCTAATGTTAAAGCTAATTATTTATTCTCAATTCTTTCAGAAATATATAGCTACATATTTATAAAAAAGAATAGATATAGAAAAGATATTTCATATTCAGTAAACATGATTTAAAACATCAGCTTTTATTAATTTGTCACATTCATCTGGCACTTCTTGATATCATTATTTTTACAACAAATAATACGAATTGAGTAATATAATATAAAATACTTTCAAATGTTATTAGTTTCCGTTAAATTAAATTTCGGTTGTCATTATTTCCGCAATGTTATTAGCTTTTGTTAAATTGAGTCTCGTTAGTTTTTGCCGGTTTTATTTGTACGAAGCGCGTACCCTTGGTGCTTTTTTTACCTTCTTTTTAAAGAAGATAAGTTTTTCACAGATTTATTACCCACGACATACGGTGTTTGCCGGTTTTCCGGTTTCGTACTGCGAATCGTGTTAGAAATCTGCCGGTCTAGCCAACGACCACGGTACGCGACTCGACGATAAATCTTTTCACTCGAGCAATAAGTCTTCTAACTAAGCGGTACCAATGTGATCCTCTTTATCGCAAGGTAGTAATAACCCCGGTCTGGCATGGCAGACCCGATGCCTCGCCAGACTGTCACGCGATACGCCCGGCGGCGCGTCTTGTCTATTGTCACCGACACTCGGTGACTCTCTGCAAGGTCTTTCCTCTCGAGGCGGTGACCTCGTTCTTCCATTCTTCTTGTCGCGAACGCGCGTCACGGCGCTTCGGGGAGTCCGCAGGATTAAACGAAAGATTACATTGCGGACGCAATAAAGGGGAAAGTGCGACGTGCGCTCGAAGAATCCGTGCGAAATTACGACACGCATACCTCCGCTTAGCATTGCGCCTTCGACGTCGTATCGCGCGCGTAAATCTGCTTTTATATCCCGGCGTAGAAAAAAAAAGGACGGGTTCATGGACAGAAAGGAAAAAGAGAGGAGAGAGACAGAGAAGAGCTCATCGTGATCACCTTACGGCCACGATAAGACGATTAACCCGGAAGTTCCGGTCTTAAGTAGATTCCGAAGCGGAGCAGCGTAGGTGTGGGACGTTAGGTATCTCTTGGAAAAATCAAAGACAGCGCCGGGATTCGAATCTTCGGTTCGTTTAATTGTTGGATTCCGCAGGCGACGCGACATACAGGTCGGTTTAGGAGAATTACCGGCGAGAGAGAGAGATAAAGAGGAAGAGTGTGTTCTCTCCCTCTCTCTCTCTCCCTCTTCAATGACGAGGATTCCACGGGGGAATTCCGCGATGCCGCAATACCGAACGAGTCCAAACGTAACGATATCCTGCGAGCGCTATTTCGCGAGACTAATATACCGCCGGGGTGAAAAGAAACTCTCAAAAATGTTCTCTCGCTCCCGCTCGATCTTTTCTCTTCCCTTCATTCGACCCCACAAGGTGTTCCCACGACGAATCGAAGGCGAACGAATGAAACGAGACGCGTCCGGGGACGCGTCGGAGGAGGTTTTGCAACGAACGCGACGAATCAGACTCGTTGCTGTTGCGTCGAATCCATATCTTACGGGGAGAGACGGCGAGATGGCGATTTATTTATTTATTTATGTGTTTGCCGAGGAGATCCGCTGTTTAGATCGTCAGGACGCACACATACGTATGCGTCACTCACCGGCACTTCGCTCGCACGTAGCCGCTAGCGTAAGCGCACCTCCCTCCCCACCCTCGCGCACCCACGAAATTTCTTACCTCCTGTATTTTACCTCCTCTTCATTTTATTTTCCTCTTTTCCCACGTGGCGGCTGCAACATTCTCCCGATACCGGCCACGGGATTTTCCGCGAGACTCCCTCGGCTTCCTCTCGCCCGTGTAACGCATCGGATGGAATGTCGTTGCGCATTGTTGCGCAAGCGAGAGAGCCCAGTCAGTCAGCCTGCCTGCAGTCAGTCAAACGTTCATTTTGTCTTCAAAATGCACCGAAATGTTCCTTCTCACGACTGTTCCACGCTTGATACGCTCCCGCTATCATTTTCCGCTCGTAATCTCGAGCAGGACGATTATTCTCGCGAGCCCGCGAAACGAGATTTCGTCGTGTCTTCGCGCTCGTATATCCAAGACGGAGTCGAGGGGAATGTCGCTCGACAATGATGTCGCTCGGCGAACTCCTCGCCCGCGCGACGGAAATGAAAATCCGAGACGAATATCTAGGCGTGTGCCTCGCTTATCAGTCGATCATTCGGGATCGATCGATCGGCGCAGAAGGCGCATCTCCTCCGGCTGGACCTCGATCGCGCCTCGGGTTCTCGCCAGCGAGTTCTAACAGCCGCGGAAATACGCTCTATTTGGAGAGCGGGTGTAACCGCTCCGAAATAATTTCGCCGAGAGATTTTGGCAGGTTTATGTTTACCGACGATATTAATATCTCCATGTGATCGTTTAATCCGACCGACGCTCCAAGACGATGAGGACGTTGACGACGACGACGACAGCGGCGACGGCCTTGGGAAAGTACCCGTGGTACAATTCCTCGGCGCTTTGCAAGTGAAATTTACACGGTATTCGACATCAATCTTGATGAAACTTCATCGGCTTGTACATCGAGGAAACGAAAAATATGCTGAGGCCACAGCGAACTTCGTGAGATTGCCGTTTCTAACTTGGAGACCAATATGTATACGAATAGCTAAAACTCGTATCATGCCGATCTTATTGCGCGGCTTCCCTTAATTTCGTCTCAGCCGGATTCGGACCGCACGTGCGCTCGCCTTTCGCAACACACACACATACGCACAATGCGATTTCAGGCTTTCCTTTGCCACTGTTCGGGCGGAAAATTTCGGCGGGAACATTCAAATTGCCCAAGTGACTCGAAGTCTCGTCCGTAAAGTCATCCGAAGCGGCCTAGGCAAATTACCTGTAGAACGCGATGAACCGAATTTTCAAATTCATGTCGCCGGGAAACCTGTAGCTAAACGTTTAACGTAAATGGCTACGCGAGCCGGGACAAAAGACTCGTCAAACTGACAATACCTGTACACGGCTGAGCAAATAATCCCTCGCAGTCGCGGTCTTTCGAATTATATCGCTATTACATGAATGACTTATAATGCGTTCTCATGTTGTTTACGCTAAATCCTCTCGCTCTCGCTCATGATGATTAATCGAGAGAAAGGATACCTCGTAAAACTGGAGGAACCTTAAACGAACGCGAGCTAATTTCATGGTGTTCATCAGAAACCTTTATGTTTAAAGATTAAACATTCGTATTTCAAGGCCAAAACAACAAGAATGTTCACAGTTAAGCACGTGTTCGAGCATCGGTACTTTTATTGATTCTAAAACGGATTCCCTTAGAAATACCTTCTCGTATCAACCGTAATTAATTAATGAAGGCCGATATTCATTGGGTTCGTCATTATTCGGCAAATAATCATAGTTTCATACATATCTCTGATGAGATATAGTTCCAAACAACCGAATGACGGCCCATTACTGAATACGAATCTGTAATTATGCTCTCGATCAAAGATTGAAAATAATTTACAACTACGGAAACCTATCTGAGCCAGTTATCCGCGAGGGAATACCGATGTAACACGTGGCGAGCGACGTGTTAAATATTATTCTCATATCGTCGGGATGGAAGATTCAGGCACCGTTACCCCGAGGATTTATTTTACGGGATTTGCAATTGCATCCGTGACACACACACACACACGCACACGCTCATCTCGCACTTCGCCGGCGACTCGTTGCGACTCGGGGCGCCGTGCGTTACGCTCCTGGCTGCTATTTTCACTATCGCCCACGGGTTATTTATAACTGTAACGAATGTACGACAGACACGTTTCGCTCCGCCGGCGCGACTTCTACCTGATGGAAAATATATCTCGATCAAATTTATGGCGGAATGTCGCGTCGCAGCTCGTCCTAACTTATCAAACTATTTATTGCTGCGCGTTATCGCGCCATCATATGTAAGGGATTATTACGATCTTCTTGCTCCGTCCTATTCTCGCGAGGCTTATTCATAACGCCGTGCGCGCGCGCGACAGAGACGTAATTTCACCACCGTCGGGTCTTTCTTCGTTTTCCTAACGAGACCTTTGGCGAGCGAGGAGAAGCGAATAGTAGACGGATATATCGTGCGAAATTAGGCATACAGATTCTTCACGGCGATACCGTGAAGGACGAGTGCGCGCTTCCGGGCAGCGGGAAACACGTGGGAATATATAATTCGCGCTCGGACGCGGTAATACGCAGGCTCGAGGAAAAATTACGTGGACGTAACATCACACCGGCGGCAAAACACGACGTCTTGAGGACCACCGGTGAACGCATCGCGCTCGAAAAGTGAAAAATTTAATATCGTAAAGTATCCTCATACGATATTACGCGTCGCTTTCTTGCAAACACGAAAAACTCGGGACAGCGGCTCGACCGAAGCGAATTAACGTTGAATCGCTGAATCAGCTCTGTCGAGCCGGATTCTGACATAATAAAAAATTATAAGTCGCAGATGATCGATAAGTACTCGGTGAGCGAGTACTTTTCAGAAGAGTACAATTATTCACGATTTGTGGTAAATCATCGCGCTCTTGAATAAATCAGGTCGCGTTCCGGCGCGCGCGCGCGTCAATGAACAAAAGCGAAATCGCCATTATCGCGAAATGTCACGATACGTCATGTTGATATCAAAAATGAAAATCTATATAATTGCGACGAGTTCAATGGACGTCCCAACATGTTTATCGGATCGACCTTTAATGACGGAATCAATCTTCTAGTTCTTTTGCGTATCAAGATGTCAAGCGAGAGGCGTAAGACCATTGAGAAATGAACTCTCCGTGAAACTGCACCATTGTCTCTTGTTTGTGACGTCTATACGAGTGCCACAAAAATCTTAAATTTAAATTTAAAACGAGAATGGCTAACCACACACGGATTAATCTCCTCTCTCGTTTCTCCTCGTCTCACAATGAATAAAATCAAACTCGATTGCGCCATGATTGCGAAACGCCGCGGAACGCTCGTAAAAAAAGATTGGTTCCATATGAAAAGCTCGCGTGCGATAATGAGATAAATATTGCGGCTAGAACCGTCGAGAAATTTACTGAAAATTCGCTCGATGTGCGTTTCATTCAAGACGCGCGTTTCAACAAGAACGGAATTCCGCCTCTTTAAGGAAGCATCCTGTCGGTGGTTGTTCCAGGAACACTCCTGTCGGCTATTCAGATAATTAATAGCCGTTTCGACGAGAAGAAGCATGACGATGAAATGAAGGTGTTATTGATACACGGTTAAGAAGACGTTCCTTCTGTGCGAAAGGATGAATCGACGCGCGTAAACATCGACGCCGATGAATGGACGACGCATTATCGAGACGATCATCGAAATCATTAGGGCGCAATTTCTCGAACGCATAACATTAACGGCCGATGCTAATCGCGCGGAAGCCATCGTCGAGAGTCAGTCGAGAAGGCGGTAATTGTCGACGAATGGAAAACGAAGCACACCGACGCGACGGAATGTAGAATTTTCCGTCTAGCAACTCGCCACTTCCGCCCGCGAGCCTAGCACCGAGTCCATTTCGCGAGACGATATCTATCTATACTGGGAGAATTGCAAGAAAGATGAAAAGATAATATAAATGCGAAGAAAATAAACATGAGAGCATTTTTATTTAATGTAGGTAGTAATTTTTTTCATTTTTCCTCTTATATTTATTTTTTTTCCGTCTTCTGTATTATTTTATTTGTCGAACTTATCGTGCCAAAAATATATTTCCCACATGCATAAATGAATGAATAAATAAATAAATAAAGTATCGTGAATCTCTAAAGAGGACTTATACATTTCTATATGGAAAAATAATCTCGAGATACATCAAAAATTAAATCGACGTAGCATTTTGGACCGAAGAAAAACGCTTCTCAATGGATAAGAATCAAAATTCGTTGAGAATTCGCGGCGTTTTCCGTAAAAATAATTCAAAGAATTTAGGTTGAGGTACATCGAAGAATTATCGGGCAATCCGATAAATTCTCCGCGTTCTTCTCGCGAGTGGCGAGCAGGTCGCGATCTATCGAGAAGGATTTAAAGCGTTGTATAATGAAAACACGCGTAGCCGGTATAGCTTTACCTGCTGTCGATAAGATAGGGACTTTTTGCGGCTGTCAGTGCGATAACACTTGGGAATTTATTGTTAAAGCGAGTCGGATATTCATTTCTTGTACTGGTTCAAAATGGAAGTCGATGAAGAAGAGAGTTCATTTTCAATGATCGTAAAAATTACATCGTCTATTAAAAACTTTACTTATACTTGAAGTTTCCACTTCAATTTTATTTAATATCATTCATTCAAAGTGCAATTAAGAGTAAGAGTAGAATGTTGCCGTTTATGTGGCACTTGCATAATGTAGATTCTCACTCAACACTTAAAGATCTTTCTGACATCGATCGCGAAGCAATCGATTAAACGGAAAATTGCCGTGCGATCCTTTTCTCAACAGCATAATGCGTTACGAGAAACGTCATTCGACGTTTATCGTAATTGCATAATAATTCGCATCGATCGTTTATGTAAATATGACATCGGACAACGTTGCATATTTTGCAGGATGTAAGATGATTACTGGAAACACATATTTCTGTTTCCATTGTTTCTTTACATCTCGTCGCGATACAGTTACGTGTAAGATCGATTCAAGGAACTTCCGCGGATATGATAAATGATTTTTCGCTGAAAAACCACGATAAAGTTCCACTTCTTTTTTAATCGTTACCGATTAAATCGACAACTCATGCGTGAATTCCTATTTATTGAAAGTCGTAGAATTGCGCACTTCAGGATCGTACTAGAACGCAATTTTACGATCTTTTAGTAATTTCTGTCATTTAATTCTGACACAATAACATCGCAATTAAAATTGCAAATTATACGCAGTAAAAATGTTGGTATTAAATTTAGTAAACTTACGTCGATATCGTTCCAGATCGTACTCTCCTTCTTCTTTAGTCGTCATCGCTGATGCATGACGCTGCGCTCGCTCATTATCCACGTATCCTTCGGGGAACGCCGTACACACATTCATTCCGCCAGGATTCTGAAACCACAGCATTCTATCTCGATTATCACTCCACATATCTTTGGTCTTTGAGTCAGCCGTATTTCCCGAGTGCTCTCCTAGTTTTTAACTTCGGAACGTTTTTTCAAAACCGAGCGGCAGCGATCCCTGAATTATCTCACCGCTGACAGACTCGCTCGCCGCGATGCAACTGCATTCTTTATCGACGTCGCGATCGTATTAAAGCAGTTGCTAATTCGTCGTCTAAATTCATCATATTAGCGCCTCAATCGCGCTACGTATCAAGTTCGAAAGAGACTCAAGGGACTTTTTAATGCGAATAATAAATTACGATATGAAAAAGAATTTCACGCGTTATTCGCCAAAGTAACGATGTTCCTAATATTGTTGCTTAATAATTTACGGAAACGCACGTGTTGTTCAAGATCAAATCTTAGAAATTAAAATTACAAAGCTTGCGTCTATAAAAGTGACGTAAAGTCACGACACTTGTCTACAATAAAATCTATCCCACGTAATGAGAAGACTAACAAGTGGCCGGCGAGCTTTTTATATCACGTTCGCGAGATATCGTCCTTAGTCCATTTTATTGTCGCAAAAATATGCATGCTCGACTGGCTTTAGAGTTCATTAATTGGCCGGTGGGGATCTAGTTAACGTGTATATCTTGGTTCCCTCTTTTATCCTCCTCCCCTCACAGCCGCCTTGTCTCTATTGTACTCGTACTTTACAAAATCACGAAGTGGAAGACCCCGAAAATCTGTGCATAAACGCGTAGATCTCGGGAATTGTGCATAAGTCGTATCGGACATTTGCATAAACGGCTGCCGCTTCGCTCGACTTGTTTTACAATCGCGGCCGCGGACCTACAAGCCTCGAATACATACATATATATCGCAACACAAATTCTGACTCACGTCTCACAGGCGCACGACGATAAGACGTCGCTTATATCGCTCTTATCGCCGCATCATTATTATTTCGGCCGCGCCGTCATAGTGCCGAAAGCGGTACGAAAGAAGAAGAAAAAGGCGAGCGCGTAACTTATCTCTCTCGTTTGCGAGAGAGCAACCAAAATAGCGCACCAGTCGCTTCGCGATAATACACACGTGTGTGTGATAACGACGATCACGTCTCGCAATGCAGGGGAGCCGTGATTTACCGTTCCGAGCCGAGAACGCACCTGTGGGCCAAATTCGAGCGCCGAAAAAGTCGACGCGATCATCCCGTACAGTCCGCTGCTCGATCCCCGAGGGAAGTCACACGGGGTAGGATGACGGTGAGCCGGCGATCGTCCCGTTTCGCTTTCACCACCGTCTCCGACTACCCCTTATCATTTTTCCCTCGTAATTCGGCGGACGACGGACACCTCGTAGAGGCCGTGGAACGAGGAACTCGCGCCACAGGCTGGTGGTGGGGTGGGAGATCCTCTCGTCGTCGGGACGCTGCATCTCCCGGCTGCCTGGTTCTGCCATGGGCGAACCACGAGCCGACGCTGCCACCGTCGCCACCGCCGCTACCACCGCCACGGTCAGCCATCCTCCCCACCACGGGAAGGTTCAACCCACGTCCGACGGGGACGGTCAGGACTACCTCGCGACGATCGGCGGCTGACCACTGCGAAGGGAATCGCGATCCCTGACGCCGACGATCCAGCCTGACACCCCCGGATGGTGGTGGTGGCGGCAGCGACGACGGTGGTGGTGGTCGCGGTCGATAATGGTACACCTGACGGCCTTGGCAGCGACCTCGCGTTCACGTTGCGTGACGCGCTGCTTACAACGTTTCGGTTGCACCGGCCGCTTCGTTGCGTCGTTCTCGTTGTCATCGCCGTTGTAACTGCGATCAATCGCGCCGCTAAAGTAGAAAACTGAGAGAGTCGCCGAATTCTGAAAAAAAAAAAAATAGAAACAACGGTTCTTATTTTGTTGTTGAAGTCTGCGGGTCGTTTTGACTTGCAAATTTCACTGTCGTCGCACCAGTGATTACTTTTGCTGTCTTTTGTTTACATTTATTATAAGCCAGTTTTTGTTTATTCTTTTTCACACCTTTTGTAACGTCTGACATCTCGTTTTCTTTTTAAATATTTGCATCGTAGAGCGTCGGGTTTTCAGATAGAAGTTAAAAATAGGACATTAACCTCAAGGAATAGAAATACGAAAATATGTATAGAAAGTGTCGTCTTTAGTTCCCGAATGATCAATCGTTTTCCAATCGCGTCAATAATTAGATCATATTTAAATCCATATGTGGTGCAAAGTTCAAGGAATTCTTAAAAAAAAACTCACTTTACCTACCTTAAAGACGGACGATCCGAATGCAACATGCCTGACATTGCCGAAAACTTCGTTCCGGGCGTTGAGTTTAGCGTTTTCTCTTCTCTCGCTGCCGATCTTTGGCTTTTCGCAGGCCAAGAATTGCAAGCGTTATAAACAGAGAGCACCAAGACCGCCGATAAAATCCCGTCGGTGAGAAGATTTCTTTCGGCTACGATCTCCGATCGCGACTTCCGGTCATCGTTTGTAACGGCGCTCGCAATTACTCTGCGCTTTCTCCCTCGTTCCCCCCCGCGCCACGCTTGCAATTAGATCCCGGCTGCGATACTGTTCCGCAACTGGGTCGACAGTCTCGCGCGATTTTCCCAGCTGTTAACGATACGGAAGCGCTCGCTAACAGAGAAAGAGCAGGATCGTTGCAACCCTCGGCCGATCGATCGGCAATGCCCCGCTAGAGATCCAAAGACAACAGAAGAATTTCTCCGCGCTATCTTTCAGAAAAAGACAGAGATTTATCTAGATAGCAGTCGTTAATTATCATCGCAAGATTGAAATCTGAAACGTGTGCATGAACTTTACGCGCGCGCGTTTATCTAACTCTGCGCATGCAGAGCGAACGCGAAGGGAGTTCTATTTCTCGGCTTAACTTTCCTTTTTAACGCTAACGCACAACGTACGACGTGACAGCTCGATCTACTTCAATTAAAGTTAGTCTCATTTCATCCCGTCCCATTTAATTTACCCGAGACGCGTGATCTAATTTAATTATTAATTCACTTTCACCGAGGATTCGACGTCATCTCCGATCGCGCGACACACCTTGTTTTCTCCTCCCGTCTATATAATCCTGCTAATTCGTAGAATTTAATTAATTAAAGTGTGTGTCCTGCGGCCGCGTGTCGACAATTCATCGGGCGCGTTTCCTCTCGGAAACCGCACCCAACGAAGGCCGACCGAACTCTCGAGGAACCGGCGATTGAGTTATTTAGCGGGCACGAGCGGCTTCTAGCGAGATTCCTCGCGCAATCCCGCCGGCGTTCTATTTCGCAGACGCTAACTGACATTACGGCGACGGTGAGCTCGCGTGCAGATAAAACCGCGACAATTAGCATACGTGAGGTCAACCGATAGACACGATCGCGCGCGCGCGCGCTCGCCACCGCGGAGCGTTATAGCCGCGGTTTCTTGCACTCGCGTAACAATCCGCCTGCATGTCGGTCTCCCCTGACCTAAGCGGGTGTACGTGAACTTGACAGTAACTTGAACGTACATGAAGTCACAAAATTCAGCAACGTTGAATCTCTTATGACCGATCAGACTGATATTGTATAATCGTATTCGTGGATTACGATAATGATGTGAAAATGCACCTAAAATCAGTTAATTTATTCAATATAATGAGTTGATGAGTATTATATATAAAAAAATTTATATATTCAAAATGTAGCGCACAATTGATTCAGTGTAGGGATTTACAATATATTTGCCTAAAATTTATATCACGCAGTGAGTCGAGAACAATTTACTGTTTTGACTCATTGTTTTTCCCTCATGTCAGAATTGCTCATATTTATTTCATATATCCTTCGTGTCATTATTGATTATTTGATATTTGATTCGCCTTACGAGTTAGCGCTGTTAGACCTTCACGGATTTGTTTCCGACATTTCGTAAACATCACAGTTCACTTTTCCAGGGTGATGAATAAATTTAATATATATTTCACAATTCTAATAATATAATTTACCCCTACTTTGAGCTTGACGTCTTAAATTTTCGTTTTCGTTGTTTTAGCGTTAAAATAGATTGTTCGAGGCAGCGTTAAAACGAAATCTGTAGAATTGAAAGTTCAAGGGAGAAGTTAATGAGTATTAATATCGTTGTAGGTTTTTATCAGTTTGGTGTAAATTATCCTTAAGAGCATCAAAGTAGCATCAAAATTTCGACTCGGGGAGAGTCGCAGGGTGCACTTTCGGAATTCGCACGATATCGTTCGATATCGGCCGACGAGCTTGCGTAGATCATGTCCGTAGAATCTCGGATACTGATCCGGAGCCCTGACCTTCCGCAAAGATTTCCCTTGAACTCGCATTTATAGAGGCCCGATCTCCCGTTCTCCGTGATAGGACGATTTATGTCCGGAGATTTATTTCGGAATTAATTTACGGCTTCTCGCATTGCTGAGAAACGGAATAACGCGGGCCTATTCCTTCGGAGATAAGACGGAAGATTGATACGCGCGCAGATGTCTGGTTTTCCTCCGGCCGTCTCCTTAAAATCTGACACGAAAGAGCGCCAGCTGTTTCAGATCGCGTGAGCTTCCCGTATCCGACATCCGCGCGAATCTCATCCACGGATCGTCCATTTGCACCCAAATGATCTTGTTATCGAATATAAATCACAGGAAGGACGGAGAGACTCGACGCGATTTGTTCATGCTGAACTCACGTTGGAACTCGTCAACACGCTGGAGACGTCGAGACGTGTCGTGGTGTTATTTAAGCGACAAGTGCGAGACAAAGGAATGAGGCGACGATTTACGAAGGTGCTGTCGATAGTTGGCTGAAAAGAGCGGTAATGGCTCTGTGGTGACGACGATTCTCCGCCGTATCGCTCTCGCGAAACGCGCGGACCCGGCCACTCGCAGACCACGAAATGATTCATCGGCTTTCGCCTCGGGATTAACCAGCGAACTCGGTTATCCCGGTGTCACTGAACTCGCTCGCTGTTACGTCGATCGTCCAAATGGTAATTTAAAGATTTCAGGAAAAACCCATTTTTTCTACATTTTTCCGCGAATTTTCCCGGTCTCTTACCTTCTTTACGGGAAAAATGTCGCAGGTTTTAACCGAACACATATGAATCTTTCTGAACGAATCTTCGCATCCTCGACGGGAAGAAAATTCGCGGAAAAATTGGAGGAAAACGGTCCTTCTTCGAAACTTTGAAACCATAGTCCGAATGCGATGCGAAATGAAGTTTCCAGGTCGAAGACGCGAATTGAAAATTGATCGTCCTATCGATTCCGGCAAAAATTCCCACTCCGCCTCTTTTCCTTTGTCTCCTTTTATTTTATTATTCCTCCTGCCGATACACGCACGCATGCATGCATGCATGCATGCATGAATGAGTAATGCATAACAAATACGTGAACACTTGCAAGCGAGACTAAAGCGGCTAAAACTCGACACAGCGCACGACCAAGTGACAGTGCAGCTGAGAATCCAAAGCTCTAGGCGACGAGGAGATGCCAATAACGCGGCTCCTCCGCAAGTATATGTTGTCATGTTTCTCTGTCGCTCAATGGCGATCACAATAATCTTTCTCTCTCTACCTCTGGCATGCTATAATTATAGTTTCGCTCGAGAGGAAACATTACGCGAGTGGTGGAGGAATGCTTTTGTTGCTCACAGCCGTTGTTGTTTCGTCGTTTGGCTGGTTGTCAGTTGGCTTGTCGTTAGCGCTAAGACGATGACATTGAATTAATATTTTTCACAATATTGACGGTTGTTATTCGTCTGTGTGTGCGTTGTTCAAATTGCTTGCCAATGATTGCGCAACGTATACCTTCCCGTTTCTTCCGCGCACGTCTGCTCGAATGTGTGTACGCGCGCGAGCACGGGTCTAATAATCATCATCGTCGTCATCATCATCGTCCAGGATAAGAATGATGATTGCTCGGGATGAATCGTTTCGGGTTGCGAATTGATCGCGTTTAACATTTTCCGCGACGCCCCCGCGCTTTCTGAACGCCGATTCGTTTGTACGCCGATTGTCTTAATGATGCTCGACTCGCTCGCGCATAAACGTATAATGCAAGTGAGAGTCACGATTTTAATAAAAACAGATTGAGAGACATTCGCAGAAACAGCTCGATAAAGTAATGAAATTAACCGTTGCTTTTTCCCATTTAAAATGTGTCCTCAAGTTTTTCCCGGATATTAAGACTTTTTTTTAATTAATACCAAGTGTTGCGGAAAATACTGTTTCAGCCTCATGGGGGAAATAAAATTGAATCGAGTAAAATTAAAAGTAACCTTAGATCGAGGATAATTCGAGACGACGCGAAAAAGAAATAATTATGGCAAGCGGAATAAGAGTAGATCGTTTCAACACGTCCGGACGACGAAGGAACTCATCGTCGCGGTTAGAAGATCCCCCTTCGTTATGCATCACGTGCACCGCAAAGAAATACCGTTGAAGCCGTACTTTCCTTTTCATAGTGAGAAAAACCCCATTTCCGATTACACTGGAAAGAAATCATCCCGACCGAAGGGTAAGAAAAGCTGCTCATTGCGACGAGAGTCGCGTATGGCGTGTCGTGACTTTATCGAAGATCATTTGGCTTGCGGAGCATTCCGATTTTCCTCGATTTATCTGTACGAAAATATCGTTATAAAGAAGTTACCGTTATAAAGTACGGAGATTCTTTTAAGTCCGCTTGTATACGGAACGATGTCTCGGATATTTCAGGCGATGCGGTCGTCACAAACGAGTTTCGCTCGCTTCCTTTCTAACTTCCTAAAGCGTTTCTCACGGCGGGCCGGAGTAAAAAAATAGAGATTTCGACATGGAGGTTAAGAGAGGTGATTCGGAAGCGAGAAAAGGACAGAGATCGTTCCACAGGTTCCGAAAAGATCGAGCGATTCACAAAGGTAATCTCGTAAACGTCAAATCCTTCGCGAGATTTCCGATCGCCGCATTTTACCGTGAAAGTAACTTTATCTCGTTCTATTTCGTCTAACATTCCCCGAAGTCGGGAGGAAACATCAAGCCGCGCGGATATCCTCAAGTCGACGCGGACTCGCGCCGTGTTCGTTTCGTGGGGAACTCCTTATTTATTAAAACGGCGCTTTCGGTATGCCACGCGTGTCCTCATCGTTGTTGCGCGCGTGTACTCACCGCTTTTAACCGTGATATCCCTACTCTGATGCCAGTCAGTTAGCCAGCCAGCCGGTGGAGCACCAGAGTGAATACCTACGTGAGGCCCGACCGGCGCGAAAGCTCAGCTCGCGACAGTTGTCGCTCGGTCGCTCTCAAGAAGCCATCCAGGCTTCGTCGTGAAGCAACCCGGAGGACGAGGCTCTCGAAGGACAACCCTCGCAGAAGAGAGACTTCCGAAGGACTCTCCGGCGAGCCTCCGAGAACTCTTGGAAGGAACTAATCGAGCGACTCTAAAGGGATTCTCGCCCCTTCAAGAGTCTGTCGAAGAACTCTCAAGGGATTCGCGAAGAGTCCTTAGGGCGGGAGTTCATTACAAGACTTCGAGGTGAGTTAAGACTCGTTCGTGTTAATGTGAAATATTTCTTAGTATCTACCGTGAATATAAGACGAATAATACAGTGCGAAGAATACTACATAACTTAATACAGCAATTGATTGTCGATACCCAGTGCTGTCAACATCGACTACCCGGATAATTACGGTTCATTTCATTATTGCTGCCTGTTATCGTTAATGCGTAACATCTGAAACGAATCGTGTACTCAGTTACCGAGAGGGGAAAAAAATTAACAGCACTAATTGACACTTCAATTACTCTGATTCTTTAATCGAATTAACTTGATGACGACAGTAATATATAGCAATGTAATCTTTAAGAATTGTGTTTACGTTAGCGCGAGAGCTCCTATTACGCGCGACTATGCCAATGTCATTTTACGCGTCGCGGACATCATGTTGACATTGGGGTTGCACGTTGTACAGTGTGACAATGCATTCGCATCGCTTATTTGCCCGCAACTGTAACTTGTATCTCGGTTAAGAAACAATAGTAGATTCTGCTACTAACGTTGACATTTGATAACCCGCGGAAATTGATAAAAATATTTCTCATGGTGGTATCATACAGTAACATACTTTCATAGTGATGTCACAACGCATGGTAACGTAGTTAACGGTAAGAAAATACGTAATACGAAAACGACAAGAAATGTAGGCTCATCGAATTTCATTCAAAATCCGGGCCTGAAAATAGTTTTCGCAAACGAGTCGAGCGAATTAAGAGCGATTCAAAATGTATCAGGGACAAATCTCGGGTCCAAAATCGAAAATCGCACGTTCGACGATCGCAGTGAAAAAAGCCGTTCGCGCTACGACGGTAAAGTGGAACGAGCGAATCGCCAGTCCGGCACGGCCGATCCTCGGTCCTTTAAAGGGACCGAGAAGAAGCCGTACGCACGTGGTGTCCAGTGAAAGAGGACGGAGAAATAAAGAACAGCGGAAAAATTGTGCGACCATATACGGGATAACGATCTCTCTCTAACGGCGGATCGAGCGGCGATAAATCGCCGAGGATCTAACGGGTGATTTATGCTTCCGAATCGACCGGTCTGTGTTTTCGCGGAAAAGTTGCAACGAGTGCGACTCTCAGATGGAATCTCAGGTAGAATCTCACGTAAGGTAAGCGGGATGATGCGGGAGTAAGAAGGGGGAGAGGGGAGGCAGAGTTTATTACCGTAGATGGAACGTCAATATCGATAATTACACGAGCGAAGGACGACTCATATATATATGTATATGTTTTTCTTCTTTTTATCGCTCTTCTTTTGCCGAATGTAGCGAAGCGTGCGAAGGGGAAGTGGAGCGTTGACGGGAACATAGGGAAAATCGCGATTGTAAAAGCGAAGAAACAGGCATGCCTACTGCTAGAAATTGCAGGTTTCGCGGCGATCTACGTCGCGCTTTAATGATAACAATAATCGAGACGATGAGTGAATTAAGCGAAACTTTAGCGATGCCTCGAGGACGAAGTGCCACCTCGTGCAGTTTCCATGAAAATTTTCCGAATGATTCATCTCAATACCGCGTTTGCCACATTTAAAGCGCGAAGAGGATCGTCAGTGCAAACATTAAATAATTGCTCGATCTGTTAGCGCGCGCGGCCGCGCCGAGACAACAACTGGCGATTTTGCGCGGCGAGATTAAAAGTCACGGAAAAAACGCATTTGCAAAATTAAATGTTATACTCGCGCGATCGCGGCAGATCGGCTCAGATGAGCGCACGAATAAACGATGGAAATAAAGATTCATTGAGTTTCATCGAGTTTCCCGACGAGCTACCGCGCGCGCACTCCGCTCAATTAACGTGCGAATATTTCGCGCTTTTGCGTCCCGGCGAAAAATTCTCCGGCCAAGCGGAATTCATTAATTCAGCGAATTAATACACCGAGCACGTCGCGGAAGATAGTGGGAGAAAGTAGTACGAGAAGAGAAATTAGGGCGGAAAATTTCGTTCAACATTCAATTCCTATCAATTTCCAATCTTCCACCCGCACTCTCCCCGTTATTTTGCAAAGCTTCGCGACCGAAAGAACGAGAAAATCCAGCAGACGATGTCGCATAAATGCGTTGGCGAGACAAGCCCGGTTCCTCTCTAACTTGGATGATTTCGCAACGCGATTTAGCAGATCGGTAATGGCGAGCGAGCGAGCGACAAATAGTTTTACGACGAACTCGGCCGGACGCGAAGGAGGAACAATCTCGGGCTGTGACATCATCTTAGGATCGGATCATCTCGTTTTACGAGTTTAGTAATGACGCTTATAATTGCGTAATCAGCTGGTCGGAAATGGCTTTTCGGGAAGCGGGCTCTAACCGACGTACATATTTTTCTCCACTAGAATGCTTTCGGAAAAAAAGGTGAATCGCACTAAAATGAATGGTGAATAATTATAATAACAATTAGTTAAGGCTCTAAAAATTCAAAATGAAGGAGACAAATGAAGGAGTCTGTCTCCTTTTAATACTGAATAACAAATCATAGAAGAGAAGAGAAACTAAACGCGAAAAAAATTGAAACACACAAGTCGAATGATTTCCTTAACATCGTAGTTGACTCGCAATCTGATCGAACAATTATTGAGAACGGACCAATTGATCGGATATAACGAAATTGGTTAAATGGATTTCAACGAGTTTCTCGTCTTACCGCGCTCGGATCGCAGAAGGAAAACTTCATCGGTCTTAATTAAAGAGCGTGGGTGACGATCAGCGGGCTTTAGCATGATTAGGTAATTCGAGCTGATCGGGGGGACGAGGATGTGACGATCTGCATACGTAATGTAACCTGCCAGATGCACTACACGAAGCTTTCGTCGCGGTTGCGACTCGTAAACGCGTGTCCTCGATCTAGATACACGTCGCGGATCGACGGAACCGCTAAATGCCTTCTCGCTCGCGACATCGCATCTCGCAAAAGAGAAACGTTGCGGTCTGCGGGGGAAAAAAATGTCAACTCCAAATTTTCGCGAGATACGTTTCAATCGACTCACTCTATATCGTGCTCTTCCGAACCTTTGCCCATTCTAGCAGATAAGAATGAAAGAGCTATCTAAACTACCTAATCTGAAATTTCATGTTTCACAATTTTATCGCAATTGCAGGATTTATATATAATCTTGGCGCTGATAAGGCGAGTGCTACGAGTTTCATACCTTCGTTTCATCTTTGTTTCACATTTAATCGTTCTATTTGATATTTATATAAGAGGATATTACAGACCCTATTGTCACATGGTCGGTCGGTTGTAATAAAAATCTGCTATTTGCTTCATATCTTTTTGACACTTTCCATTTATCTTTATACGATACCTCGCAGATGGTGAATCTAAAGAGCGCCTTGGGCGCTGAAGAACTCACCGACGTGAAGGCTGGTCTTCCTCGCGCCCTCCTGGCGGAATTCCTCGGCACCCTGCTGCTGAACTTCTTCGGGTGCGGTGCGGTAGCAACCTCAAACGTCGTCGCCATCAGCCTGGCCTTTGGATTGACGGTGATGGGCGCGATTCAAGGGATAGGTCACGTTTCCGGGGGTCACGTCAATCCAGCGGTCACATGTGGCCTCCTCGTCGTCGGGAAGGTACAGTTCGGCTCCTGGAAACAAATAATTGCTTGTAAATATTAGTTTGTATGATTTAAAGAGATTACATTCTCCTATAAGAGGAGTGCCTATATGTTTGCTTCGAACCCGCTTAGTACACAACTGAGTGAGAATCGTTATCTGACAGGGAAAAAAATGGTTTGATTGAACTAACGTGATGACAATGAATGAACGAAACGCGTCTTGATTGAAGGAAACGGAATTTCTGGCTCACTTAAACCAAATTCGGTCTTTATAATCAGAAATTCTGTTTTCTTCGAGCAAAACGCGTTCGGTTATTACCACGGATTAATACAAGTAATCTTCCTCCTCCGTGTGCTATTTCATTATTTCACAAATGAGACTCACACTCGTTCGGAGAGAACACGATATCTCGCCACGAAAATCAATCTCCGCGTCCACGAGAGAAAAGGAACTATTACGATGAACGGAACTAACCATCGTGCAGGTGCCGGTCGTCAGGGGCATCCTGTATATCATGGCGCAATGCACGGGTGCCATTGCGGGATCAGCAATCCTGAAGGCACTCTCATCGGACACGATGGAGCATCTCTTAGGGGTGGTGGAACTCGGCCCCGGGGTGACGCCTGTTCAAGGATTCGGGGTGGAGTTCTTCCTCGCCCTGATCCTGGTGCTGGTCGTTTGCGGCGCGTGCGACGCCGCTAAGCCGGACAGCAAGGGTGTCGCGCCTCTCATAATCGGCCTCGCCGTCACCGTCGGCCACATCGTCGGCGTGAGTATTGCACGATAATTATTGACGTGCTCGAAAATCCTCCTCGAGGATTTTTCCTCTCTTTTTCTCTTTCTCCGCGATGATCGCGTTCTGTAAATATTAGATACCGCGGACAGGCGCCGGAATGAACCCGGCGCGTTCATTGGGTAGCGCCGTGGTGATGAACGCTTACGAAAACCACTGGCTGTACTGGGTAGGTCCAATCCTGGGCGGCATCGCCGGCGCGCTACTCTATGTGCACGCGATCGGGCCCGCCAAGGAGCCGGAAGTGCCCGCCAGGACCTACGCCTCCGTCGCCACCGAGGAGAAGGAGGTATATTACAACACGAGAATGTGAGATCGCTTTCAGACACGAGTCTAAAATTACTCCTCCGCCGTAGACTTGAAATCGATTCTTACGACGTAGAGCAATTTTTTTCTCAGCAGATCTCTTCGCTGACGCACGAATCTGCTTGAAGTTTTCGAAGTTCTCATTATTTTATAATAGGTCCCTCCTGGTTTTTAGTAAGCCCCTTTTTTGGAAATTTTTGAAAGCTTCTGAATACTCTCTCCTGAAAACTTTCTTCAATTAAAGAGTATTGTTCGTTTTGAGTATCGTCGATTTTAAGTCACCCGTGTCTGAAAGAATGGCTTGGAGATACAGTTTCTCGATGCATTTACGATGTAAGTCTGGCATCTTCCTATAATTAACAAATACTTAATCCACTTACGAACCGCTCTACTGAAACACACTCATACTCATAATATTAACTCTACGTGGGGAATTAAATAAAAAAATTATCACATTCTGCTTCGCGAATTTACAAATTTCTCATTAGCAAAGGAACTTTGTCCTTGAAGAGGAAGCACTGAAGAGTGAACTTATCTAGTCCTTATGGGGCAGAGTACTTAATTAACAAACGAACGCATGCATGTTCGTAATGCATGATGGGGAAATGCAATGCAAGTGCATTCCTATCTTTCAAAGGAGCAGATTTCTCTCTTTCTTCCGGGATAGAAAGATTTCGATTCTAAGTTGACGACCGTCTCTGTCCCACAGAGGTTCGAGTACATTGACAGCGGACGTGGCGGGCTTTAAGATACGAAGGTGCCGAGACATACAAGAGTGCGATTCGCCCGTACAAAATATATCACTTTCATGAAAATAGAGAAAGAGAAAATAAATCAACGAATCGTCATTATTTTACAGCTGCAGAATCTTACAGGCAAGAAAAACGTCAATCCCGCTTGACGCCCTAACAGAATTTTAACCATCTCCCACCAGCTCGCCGAAACATCTTATCAATAACGTGATAAGAATTATCCGACTGCTTTTTTACGAGAAAAAAAAGTACTAAGCGCTTTTTGCGATAAAAGCCAAGAACTGTATAGAAATAAACTTTTTCTCTCTTTTAATGAGACACACGCCAAACGTAACGATTTTCTCTTTTCATCACTATTCAATAAATTATTCAAATATCTAAAGCTTAATTGCTTATTTGTAAATAAATTTCTTTTGTCGTGCAAAAATGGCGATCGTCCAAAGATCGTCTGAAAATGAATTTTGCGAAATGCTCTCCGTCGATCGTTTCCGCGTCGATTATGCAACGAGATAAGAACGAACGATACCGACAAATTGAGAGAAAGCCAAAGAGATTTGTTTCCGCCACATAATACTATACGGTGACGACATCTCGTGCCATGTGGAGCGACACGTGCAGTCGATATTGCAGTTGTAGAGAACACGTTGCGCCTTGATAACAACGTGATCGCTCGACTGACTCGGGCATGAAGTCCCACCGCGACTCATTAATAATCGAAAAATCATGCAATTCGCTAGTTGTCATTACATGCAGTTTTACGTGTCGACACGCGTTAATACTTAATAATTAAATGTTCATTATATGGCGCATGGATGCGCTTAACTCGCCTCTACGTACAATCTTTCGTGATCTTTCGTACTCGTGCGCATTCATTCCTTTCTCCACACACCTTTAAAAACATTTGTACACGCGAGATAATATTTTATAGGCAGTCATTGATATCTTATGAAAAAGCGCCTTGCCAAAATATAAAATCGATCCGCATATTTCATACGCTCGCAGCAATGTGCATTTCTTCCACAAATAGAAGTTATATAGCATTACTGCATAAAACCATATTTATGTAATAATTACTATAACAGCAGAATATATAAGTACATGTTATGTACAATGTGTTATATGGAATAAAGTCTAAGTTTTTATATATAAACTCTCTCCCGATGATCGTCCTCGCTCCCATATTCGTTCTCTTTCGTAATTACACCTAATTAATTAAGCGAAATTTTATCTCCAAATTGAGTCACCTAAGTGTAATTACTAAATACAGATAAAGTACATGTAACTTTCTTAAAAAAAACTGTCCTACGATATAATTATCATTACGTACTTGATATAATCATTTTGTAAACTTTTCGCTAAATATATTCCTGTTATGTTATCTCTCTAAATTATCTATTTACACACTTCTTACACGGGAAAGGACTGGTAGGAAAGGGGACAATAAATATCGTTCTCCTACACTTACACACCGTACTTTGTATATTTCATAGATAGTTTCAAGTATCTGTAGAATATTTGCAATATAATCTACCTTACCATATCCGTAATGAAAACAAATCTGGAAATTAACTATTGTAAACATATATCTATAAATTTAATATATCTCATTATCTCGTATGTTCCCAATGTTTTAAGTGTCTGGCTTGTTGAACTCGAGTCCATTGCACCAACAGCGAAAAGAAAGAAACATAATCCCCCAGGAAGAAAATGCTCGCGATGACCAAAATACCTATTATACGTTACTTAACAGAAAAAAAGAAAAGAAACTCCTCATATCTGATGGATAAAATCTATTCACATACAAACACATTGAAGTCCCAAGAAATGAATAAGTAAACTCTTTCTTCGTCACGTCGTTACTATAATTTCAGTACAACGACAGTATGATAATTTGATACAATGAGAACCGAAACACAATTCGGAAAGCGAATCACCAATACAGGGTCGCGTACGCGTATCAATGTAGTATCATAAGAACGTTAAATTATAACGAATATAATTAATATTCTTCTTGATTTTGACTTATTTTGATCGTGGCCATTTCCGAAATAAATGACTTGGTTGAGCAGACTATCAGCGCGTTCTTTTCTTCTTTATTATAAAATTAAAAAGTACGTGAGAAGAATTTTGACAAATTCAGATGAGATAACGTGATATATTACGTTTCGTCCGCGATCACCGAGCTGCGAAACGATCAAAGTGACCTAATCATAAAAGACCAAACGTTTGTGAACTCATGAAAGAAATGCGGCGAGATCCTTTCCCGTGGCAGAGATGTCCTCGCATGATTACCGTCAGTATGATACCAGTTTGAAACCGCGTTATTATCAGTCCATCGCTAAAATCCTCGCGCGATCTGCAATTAGCGATAGTATTCTGAATGTCGATCGAAACGAAATTCTGATACCAGCGAAGAAAGCATTTGGATCACGTGTGTATATATATATATATACATGCATATATATATATATATATGTGTGTGTGTGTGTGTGTGTGTGTGTGTGTGTGTGTGTGTGTGTGTGTCTAAGAAAGTTACAGTCAACGAACTCCCATCAGCATAAATTAACCCTTAATTCAACGTCGACCTTCAAATCTTAAATCAAAGTAAAAAAAGACCGAAATATTTTGAGTTCGATCGAAAGAACAGCTGCTCGGTCAAATTAAAGGTTAAATTACATGTTAAGATGATCAGAAGACGAATCGGTAGTTCCAATTATAAAAGTGGAGTAGTGCTCGGGTGAATTGTCATAAAATCGTATTCTAATCGTTCCTGATAGCTTTGCATGTTGTAGTATAATCACATAATCATAATAAAAGTAATCACGATGCGGTTAACGTGAATAATAATAACGCGATACGTTTCGTGCATATATACTCAGTAAACACCAACAAACGGTAACATATGTCAATGTTATAAATTTCCCACCCGACAACGTGGATGCAATGTAACGCGTGCGTTATATAATGGTTACATCGAATTCTGGTTAAGTAAGAAATTGTAATATTGATGTTACGTTACTTACAATTGGTATTTAGTGGGTATGTGACGCGTGCATGCACGCGCGAGGTAAATGGCCCTAGTAGTTATTTAATAATATATGATTTATCAATAATATATAATATAGTATCTAGATTATATAATAATATATAGCAAGTGAACTCGAATGGACGAGAGTCAAAATAGATTCCCGAATCAATTTTGAATTGTGTATTGTCAAAATACTCAATAAAATTCTTTCATTAAATAAAAAAAAGGAAAAAAAAAGAAGAAAAAACGTGTAATCGATATTGCCCAAGCGTTTGCTTCATCGTGTTGTAACGCAGACCTGCTCGAACTAGACGTGATCAAATTTAGTTCGAACAGGCTTTTACACCATTTATACCATTTTATAACCATTTTACTCCTCGGTCGTTATGCGATCAATTATATCGAGACTGCATGTCATTCGTTCACAATATAAACGACATTCCGAGTACCAACGATAATTATCAATCTCACACGAGAATCCTTAAAAACTGTGTGCGAAGAGAGCTCATCACGTGCGATCCCCCTCTCCCTTGCAAGCACGTTAATAACCATGCGATCGAATTTTCCTGTTCGCGCGCAAAAAGCCGTCTCATTCTATCTTTTATACAAATAACCGATCGATTCCGTTGCTTCGCGCTCGCGTAAAACGAAGAGAATCAGTGCTTCGCGCGTCACGATCTCTCCTTACTGGTGTCCTCGGGGGATATTTCTTTGGAACGGCATCTCCCGCCTAGGGGTTAGCGTTTCCATTTAACCTTCCATCTGCGAGAGCTTATCCTCTAGACTATCCTGACTATCGTTCGTGTCGTTGAGATTAATAGTCTCATTGGTCTGCGACAGCTCCATAACGGAATCGTTGAGAGTGCTGGACTTCTGCACGTCCAGCACGTCGTCCGATGTCTCGAAGATGTCGCCAGTCTCAGAAAGGTCCTGGGTGTCGAGGGCCAAGTGGGGAGTTTCTTCAGTTTCCTCGTGATTGCCTTCCGTCGCGTCAGTCTCTTCCACCACTTCCTCGGAAGAATCCAACTTTAATTCCTGGCTCGCGACCTCCACTTCCATCGCAGTCTCCTCCCTGATAGTCGCCATGGTGTCGCAGCTATCCACCTCTATTGCCTCTGCCTGCTGCTCGGCCGTTTCCGTACCCGCGGAAGGGCTGTTTTCGCTCTTCGGTTTCGCCGTGATGTCCGTTGCTATCGTGCCGGAGATCTGCGTCAGGTTGCTCAATACCGTCTCCTGCATCTTCACCACGTTTTCGGTCGTCTCCAGGATGCTGCACAGTTCGCGGCTCATTTCCTCCACCTCGGACGTCTGATCGGGCTTCATGATTAAGTAGCGTCTATTTGTGTAAACCTTTTCGCTGGAGATAGTCGGGCCTTTCTTCGGCATCGGTGTGGACGAACTGGTGGTGGCTGCGGTGACGGTCGTCGTCGTTTTCGTTACTTTCTGCGCGCTCTGCATCTCCTTCTGGATCTCCTTCTGGATATTCTCCGGCGTTTCCTCCACGCCGGCCTCTTCACTCTTAATAACGGCTTGTTGCTCGCTCTTAGTCGGCTTTGTCTCCGTCTCGTTGTCGTTGTACTCTTGCTCCTCGTCGTAAATGCTTTGCTTCCGCTTGACGAACACCCTCTTCAGCGGCAACTGTTGCTCGTCCTCGGACTCATCGTGTCGCTCCGGCAACATCTCGTCGATCGCGTCGTACTCCTGCTTCCTCGCCTGCAGCTCCTCGATCTTCAGCCTCTGCTGCTCCACCCGCTTCTCCAACCGTTCCAGCTTCTCCTTGGTCTCCTGATCTTCCTGCGCGCTCGACTGTTGCTGGCTCGCCGGCTTCTGCGACGCGACCGTAGTCTTGAGCACGGCCGTTGTGGATGCGCCGCTGTTCGACGACGCCGTCTTCAACTCGAACTTGGACGTCGTTGTGTCGTCCAGTATGGCTTCGCCGGTCTTCTGATGCTGCTCCACACGCTGCAGCAACGCCTGCACCAAGTTCGGACCCTTGGCCTTCACCACTACCCGCTTCACTACGTTCCCAGTTGGCAGTTTTGCCAGCTCGGCTGGGTCGACGGCGGTGCCGTCCGGATTCATGATGACCTCGCGGGTAGTGTCGCCGTGACGGATGATCCGGCGTACTATCAAGCGCCTGTTAACTTTAGGCAGGGAGGAAGTTGGGGCGTTCGGAGCGCCGCTGCCGCTGGGATTGCTCACGGTGGCGTCCTGTACGTTTGTGTTCGTTCCTTCGGCATTCCCACTCGGCTTCCTCAGCACGAACCTCTTGATGACCTTCACAGTGTTAACGCCTTTCGGCGTAGACGTCACCATCGTTCCCGGTACCGCAGTCTCCGTCGCGCTGCCATCGGCCTTGTCGTCCGCCTTGCGAGCCTCCTGCGACGCGGTGGCGGCCTGCGAACCCGTCGTGGCCGCCGTTGGCGACTCCTTGTTGGGCTGTTCCACGATGTTTTGGTGCTTCAACGGGATCTTGTGCTCCTTGAACACAGACGCGACGATCTTCTGCACCTGCACGTCGGTGTCGTCGCGCACGCTCTTGGGACTCTCCTCTTTGCTCTGCGACGACGCGGAGCTCTTCGCGCCGCTCTGCGACGCGGACGAGCCGCTACCGGGGCTCTGCTTGGCGACGGGCTTCTGTTCCTGCACCTCGCGACGTTGAATCGGCATCAGCGTCTTGATCGTCTTCTTCACCATGTTGCCGTCTTTGCCGCGTACGAACACCACCTGCTCTTTGCGCTGCTGCTCATCGTCCTCCTCCTCGTCGCTTTCCTCCTGTCGCGGTATCACCGGCTTCGGCATTTTCTTGATGACATAAGCGGGCGGCTCGTAGTCGTCGTCGCCGTCCGAGTACTGTTCCTCCTCTTCCTCTTCCTCCTCCGAGTCAATCTCTTTGCTCTTGTTGTCCGGCTGCAGACCGTCCGGGCCCATCTTCTCGCCCGCCTCGATATGCTGCTTGATGTGGGTGACGTAGTCGGCGCGATTGCGACAAGACTCCTGGCAAACGTCGCACGTGAGGCCCATCGCCGGAGTGCGCTTCGTGTGCGTCAGCTGATGCACCTCGAGGCTCTCCTTACGTTTGAAAGCTTTGCCGCAGTCCTCGCAAACATGTCGCTTCTCCACGGAGTGCGTGCGCATGTGTCGCGTGAGATGATGCGACAACAAGAACGTCCTCGGGCAGAGCTTGCACATGTAGGGCCGGTGGCCGGCGTGAGAGGTGAGGTGGCGGGCTAACTTGGTGCTGGTGTGGAACGCCTCCTTGCAGTACTCGCATACGAACGTCTTGTCCTCGTTGTGCAGCGTCTCGTGGCGCTCCAGGCCCTGCTTGTACTGGAAACGTTTGTTACAGATGTTGCACTGAAACGGCTTGTCCTTCTTGTGCATCGCATCCTCGTGTTTCTCCAGGTCCTCCGTGGTGAAGAACTCACGATCGCAGTGCTGGCAATTGTAACGAGCCTCGTCGCGATGCACCTTCTCGTGGCGGTGCAGCAGATTCTGCCGGGAGAACTGCTTCTGGCAGATCTGGCAGGAGTACGGCTTTTCCTCCGAGTGCGTGGTCATGTGCTTGTTGAGATCGTACTTGGTAAAGAACATGCGCTCGCATTCCGTGCACTTGTAGTTGCGATCGCGATGTGCATTCTGAATGTGCAACGCCAGGGCTTGGCGCAGCGGAAACGTACGGTCGCATTGGTCGCACGCGTGCACCCTGATCTCGCCGGGTTCCAGCTTGGTCGGGTCGCTCTTCACACGATCGCTGCCGCTTTCCTGCTCACCCTCGCTGCCGCCATCCTGCTCCTCCTCGTAGAAATCGTGGTGCTGCTCGCTCGAGGACTTCTCCTTCTCGTTCTGTCGATCTCGGTCTCTCTCCCTTTCCCTCTCCCGTTGTTCTCGTTCCCGCTCTCGTTCCCTCTCCCTGGTTACACGTCTCTCCCTTTCGGAATTGTCAATGCGCGGCTTTTTGGTACCCTCGTTTTGCTGTCTGGCCTCGGCGGGTCTCTTGTTGCACATTTCCGGTGGATCGTTGGGGATAGGCGGAAACGGTCTCGGCAATACCCCGGACAACGGGTAATCTCTCAACGCCTCGTCGGCCTTCTTGCATTGCAGCTTGAACTTGTACGAGCGGTCCAGGTTCCAGCGGCACATACTGCAGATCATCTGTGGCATTCCATCGGCGGCGTATACCTTGAGAACAACAAAGAAATTGCGACGGAACGTTAGTAACGCGCTTACTTCTCTTGACAGTTCTCAGGGAGAATCTTCTGCAGTGTTCAAGAGCTAGGAAATTGTCGTGTGTTGGAAGTTTAGGATCCAGGATGGAAAAGTTTCTCTCCGGAAGATTGAGAGATTCTGAAACTCCTTCGTGGAATTTGTAGCTCCCGTTTCCTTGCTGCCTTATTCGAGAGTTTATCAGCTGGGCGGAAAATAGATTTCCTTCGACAAATTGTATTTCGTGAATGTAAATCATCGGAACAAAGCTGCTTAGAAAATCGAATTACAAAGTATTTAATAAGTACGATTCAGATGAGTAATATGTATATATTATACGTTTGCATATGTACACATTATACATGTAGACATGTAAAACATATTTTCAGTGTGTGTCAACTGAAATTTAATTTAACGTTTGTTTATTTGTGACTTGAAACTTTCAATTCCTTCTTTGCTAACAGAAAAATAAATTTTTCAGACGCCTCAGAAGGTTGCAGAGGTAAAAGCACTGATTACACCGACAATTATTCTAATCGAGTAAATATAAAATCAGTAGCTTTTCATCTCCTCCTAACCTGCGTTCTATTAGGAAACCAACGTGCGTCTGATAATAGGGACTGTAATTGTGCGCACATATAACGTACAAAATTACTACAAACTGTACAAATATCATGATTCTTTCATCGCTTATCACAATTATCATTACTTTTATTATAAATATTATTATATCATTCTCTTTATTTAATTTCTTAGGGATATAAAACGGGATAGGATAAGAATAGAGTAAGACGTGCCTATCGAACAATCTCACAGCTTACAAAATAAGACAGTAAGCCGGCAAACTCACTAATAAATGATTTAATTATTGAATAAGTGCTTAAATTAATCTATTACCATATTCAACGAGTCGGACGGAAAGTCGGGACTTTCAATTGGCGCGTAACCGCCGAGAAATCAAACGGAATCAACCCGGAACGTCGCGGCCTCTCCACGCAGACGCTCGCGTCGCGATGCCGATCGGTCAGCTGGCAACCCCGTGTTACCGACGTGGCGAGCAATCTATCAAAATCCAATCATTTCCCAACGCGAGGAACGCATTCTCGGTACACAGCCCCCTGCTCTATCGTACGGTTCCCCCTAATCAGAGCCCGGTGTACGAAAGGGATGCGCAATAACGCTTCGATGGTTGGTGCCCGGCAGTTCGCGCGAGGCGAAGGTACATCGTGTCGCCAAGCGGCGGTAGTCTTTGCTCACCTCTATGGCGACGCACGACATGATTTGCAGTGTGAGCGGCACTTGGAACGGTTTGCTGTGGTCGCGCTCGTAGATGTAGCTCAGCGGTTCCGACTCCGTCAGGCAGAATCGGCATACCCGCCGCGAACGCAGCGGTGCCGGTCTATTCTCCATATCCGCCGGCGTTCCGTACGCGTGTGTGCTCTGTGGCTCCGCTCGCTCTCTCTCTCTCTCTCTCCTTTCCTCTCACTCTCCTTCCTCTTCGTTCTCTTCTATCCGTCTCTTTTAACGCTCTCGTCCGCGGACGCGCGCAATCGAGCCAAACCCCCGGAAAAAACTCCGACGCGATGAACTCTGCCAGTCGCGTACCGTTCGCGGACGATTCGCCTCGTTACTCTGGTTCGCTCGCTCGACGACGACGCCGAGCGTCGGTAAGCGTCGAGATACGCACTCTCTTCCTCACGCCGCACCGTATGCACGCCGACACGGCGCTATAATGGCGGACGCCGGAACAGGCTGGCCGCGCGCGCGGTTGCCTAGTCTCGTCTCAGCGTCTTCTACGCTACCCGAGTCTTTGCACGGTGGCGCCGGTACGCTGTAGGTGGCACACCTGCGCCGTGCCGCCGATAAGGCAGGCATCGCCGTTGCCGTCGGACGGCACGCCGCAGGAACGGTAGACGAGCTCGTGAAAGAAGAGATGGCGCGCGTTTACTCTCACCTTCGCGCGGCCTCAAAGAGAGTTCAATTATTCCGATATTCTGAAACTTCATGTAAAAATTCAGATTACGCAATACCTCGATGTACAAGTCGCTGATAAAAAGAAGAAAAAGATGGAAAATATTTCTCCCCTTTCCTACTTTAGTAGATTATGATCGATTTTGAGAAATAACAGCGAAGAGCAGATCGATTATTAGTTGTCATCGCTCGCTGCAATATTTTAACTTCACGCGTCCCGTTCGCTCTTTTGTGACATTATTGTTTAAGATGTGTATTTTAATTTCGACAAGCTGATTTTTATGTATTTTTTTTTTTATCCTTCGCGCTTTTACCGGATAATTTCATCCCGTCGACGCTGAGAGATGCGGCGATTTCTCCGAAAATCACAGCGACTCAATCGCGATCTGGACGCTCTTCGTCGAGATATCGACACGGACGTGCATATTAAACCCGCGGAGAATCTACTGCGAGATCTGCAAGTGGATCCCGAGCAAGGTCTACCGACGATCATCGCGAGAGATCGCCTACGAGAGCAAGGACCGAATGCGCTGACGCCGCCGAAGAAAACATTAGAGATCCTTAAAATTCTACATCACTGCTGCAGTGGATTCTCCATGCTGATATGGGTAGCGATTCGCGAGAATTCTTGAATCGAATTTCCTCTCTATCTCGAGCGCTCTTTGTGCCGCGACCGAGAGAAAATGTATATTGAAATAATAACGTAATGTAATCGTTAGACAGGCGCTGCTTTGTGCCTTGGTAATTACTTCCTGGAGCGAGAAACCTACGGCGAAGCGTCCGAGGATCATCTCTGGCTCGGCCTGGTCCTGATCGTCCTGATCTTGGTCACGGGTATGTTCAGCTATTATCAAGATTCCAAGAGCTTGCGCATCATGGAATCCTTCCAGCGGATGCTACCGCAGCGAGCCAAGGTCCTGAGGGACGGCGAGAGAAAGGAGCTGTTGGTGACCGAACTGGTCGTCGGGGACATCGTCCTGCTGGAAACTGGCGACCGGGTGTCTGCTGACATTAGGATCCTGGAATGTCAAGGTGAGGCGTGTCATGCCATCATCTCGTCGGGCGCGCGTGCTTCTTGTTTTCCTCCGAGAACACGAGCCTTTCTCTCCCGACTCGATCGAGGAACGCGTCGGTTTTTAGCTCCGTTCGATCCTGTAGCGAAAGAAAGCCGACGGAAGAATCATCCTGAAAGACAGAAGTCGGAAAAAGGAAAATAAACATTCGATATATATTACAGAAGACATTTTTTTACCCTCGGAGAAGAGCATTTGAAGTTGGTAATACAAGTCTTAAGGATGTACCTCGTGTATATCTTAATTACAAGATTATTGCTTGTGGCGATATTTTATGAGTAATACAGTTTTATGTCTCTTTGAACGAAGGCTTGAAAGTGGACAATGCCTCGCTCACAGGCGAATCGATACCGTTGATACGAACAGCGAATATCCCGCAAACCGGCAATGTTATCGAGGCGAAGAATATGGTGTTCTTCTCTACGAACATCGTCGAAGGTACACCGACGATATTCTACTTGGAAAGAACAAAAATTTTGCGATGAAATACATAATTTATTAAGACAGGAAGAATCAGACGTTTCCAGAGTTGCCACAGAAAATGAATTTTGAAATTCCCCGACTTTTCCATGTTTTTCAGACAACAATGGAGAATTTTTCACATGCAATGTGTCAATCTTAAACTTTGACATGTAGAAGCAGGGATACAGGAAATGTATATTGGTAGAAATAACACAAACTTAAAAGTTTAGTAACATAATGTAATCCCGAATGCAAATTCAGGTCAACAACAAATAAATTAATATTGAAAAAAAAACAGTTGAGAACGTGTAAAGAAATTGTGAACAATGTTCAAAATTCCAGGTTTTCTAATATCCTTCCCTGGCTTTTCCAGATTTTCCTTGACACTTTGTTAAATTTCCATGACTTCTCCCGGTCTTTCCGGTTTTCCAGGTCTGTGGCAACCTTGCAACGTTTCGTGTATTGCATGGCAAGCGTAAAATCGTAAGCTCGTAACTCTTCATTATCGCCGAATCAGACGGAATTTTCGCAAAAAACAGGCTCCGGGAAGGGCGTCGTGGTGGCTCGCGGTGACGACACGGTGATGGGCAGAGTGGCCAGGCTTACTTCAAAACTCTCGCCACGACCTACGCCACTTTCCCGCGAGATCCATCGCTTCATGAAAGTGATCTCGTGCTGGGCGGTTTTCGTCGGTGTTCTTTTCTTCGTCATGTCCGTCGCGATGAACTACAACTGGATCGACTCGGTGGTGTTTCTCATCGGTATCATCGTGGCGAACGTGCCGGAAGGCATCGTCGCCACGGTGACGGTCAGTCTGACCCTGACCGCCAAGAGGATGGCCAGCAAGAACTGCCTGGTGAAGAATCTCGAGGCCATCGAGACGCTCGGATGTACCGCCGTTATCTGCAGCGATAAAACCGGCACTCTCACGCAGAATAAAATGACCGTACAGTTGACTTTTCATCTTTAACCGCTATCTTGAATCTTGCATCTCTCTTCTTGCATTTCGCTCACACTAGATTTGCGGAAGTTGGTGGAGATATTCGTGTGAAATGCTCACGATTCGTTATTTTCTGCCTTGCAACTCGAGCGAAGAGCAATGGCACCGCGCTATCCTTTACGCAAAACGTATTTCTCTCACTTCGACAATCTCTAGCTACGGTAACGTTCGCTTTCCGGTTCTCGTTATGGTCGTTCGATCAAGTTTCTCTCATCAATCGCGCGAGTTCCAGGTGCGACACATGTGGTACGACGGCCAGATGCGCGAAGTGATGGCTTCAGACACGTGGAGGAAGTACGCCAACAGTCAAGGCTTCGAGAACCTGGCCAAAGTGGCGAGTCTCTGCAATCGCGCTAAATGGGTACCAGAAGATGCCGTTAAGCTACCGTTAAATAAAAGACAGGTATTAGGAGACGCGTCGGATATTGCCTTGCTGAGATGCATGGAGGCCCTCGTGAAGGGAGGGGCCGATTTTTTCAGGAAGGATTACGTCAAGGTAAACGAGCCGAGTTCTCCGATTGCGCAAAATCAAATTCGACCGAACGCCTTCCTAGCGATTCAATTCCAACGAGTCTCACGTCAATTCCCATCCTAAATGTATCTTCAGATCCTCGAGATTCCCTTCAACTCGACGGATAAATTCCAAGCCAACGTGCACCTGTTTCAAGGCAGGTACCTCGTGTGCTTCAAGGGTGCTCCCGAACGAGTTCTCGAGCGTTGCTCCACTGTAGCATTCGGCAACCGGACCGAGAAGTTAAACGACAAAATGAAGACGGCGTACACAGAATCCTGTCACATACTGGCGAACAACGGGGAACGCGTCCTCGGCTTCGCCGACCTTGAACTCTCGGCATCGACTTACCCCGTAGGTTACCGCTTCGAGGCTGACCCCCCAAATTTCCCTCTCCAAAACTTGAGACTGGTACTTCGATATAATGTCGATTCGTGAATATTTCTTCTCTGAATTTATCCCGACGAACACGGGGAAAACAAATTTTGCTGCAACAGCAACATTATTTGTTCCATCCAACAAATTCTTTTACTGTCGCTATATTAACAAACAATTTGCTGTTCTAGCAAAATCTTTTTCTCCGTGAAGGATCCTCGCCACTCGATGCTCAATCGGTTCAACTTTCCTCACCGACAGATCGGCCTGATCGCCATGATGGACCCGCCGCGACCGACGGTACCGGACGCAGTGTACAAATGTCGCTGCGCCGGCATCAAAGTCATCATGGTGACCGGCGACCACCCGGACACCGCCAAGGCGATCGCCAGATACGTCGGCATCATCACCGACGATGATCATGATCACGATTATAACCACGACAACAACAAGAGACACTACATTGTGGTAACGGGTGCCCAATTACGGGATCTGTCACCTGAGCAGTTGGACAGGTTGATCAGACAGTACCGAGAAATCGTGTTCGCCAGGACGTCGCCGGTGCAGAAGCTGCAGATCGTCGAGAGCTGCCAACGACTGCACCTCATCACTGCAGTCACCGGCGACGGCGTTAACGACTCGCCGGCCCTGAAGAAAGCCGACATCGGCATCGCCATGGGCATCACGGGTCAGACGGTGGTCGAAATCAATATCTTCCGATGAGAATCGCGCGGTTTTTCCGAATTATCCGACTCGAACGATCGTTATCATTATCAGCCGATTACTCTCGATCATTAGGGTCAGACGTGAGCAAGCAGGTGGCGGACTTGATACTGCTCGACGACAATTTCGCGTCGATAGTGACGGGCATCGAGGAGGGCCGGCGGATCTTCGACAATCTCAAATCGAGTATTGCGTACATCTTGGCGAGCAACGTGCCGGAAATCACGCCTTTCTTGGCATTCGTCGCACTGGGGATTCCCCTGCCTGTCGGCATTATTTGCGTTCTGTGCATCGATCTGGGAACGGACATGTGGCCGGCCGTCTCGTTGGCTTATGAGAAGCCCGAGTCGGACGTTATGTTGAGGTAGCGAATACACGGGATGTCATGTAATCCATCTATATGCATTATGTCATTACTGTCCCATTTCCAAGGACAATTACTTTAGCAGAAATTGAGTCTCGTGTGTGTCCAGTCACGAGATAGTGAATTGGATAATAATGTAACGCTCCCTTCTTCCAACAGTTAGATAATAACTATTAGGTTGGTGCGTATGAAATGTCGGATTCTCTTTACATGCGGACGTTTTCCTACCCTGTTTTCGTTATACTTTTGTATTTGGCATAACCTCATTCATACTCGTATTGTCCATTGCCAGAGACTCATTTCAACAAAATAGGTTTTCTCGAAGGTCTTCCCTTTTTTATTTCTTTTGAGTTTATTACCGATATGAATTCTGCCGACATTCGCGTCATTTTCTTATATGAGTACAAACTTGGTAATAGTGCTGCAAAAGCTGCACGCAACATAAACCAAGCGTTTGGGGAGAATACGGTTAACAATCGGAAAGTGCAGCGTTGGTTCGAAAAATTTCGGACTGGCGATTTTTCACTGCAAAATGAGCCGCGCGGAAGACCCAAAACGTCTGTGAATAATGATGACCTGAAGGCTCTAGTGGAAGCGGATCCAGCCGTATCCACGAGGGAACTTGCTATCAGGATGAAAGTTGACCATACAACGATATTGAGACACCAAATTGTACTCCCATCGCTTGTGAATCGGCATGGCCCGCTACTGCTCCATGACAACGCTCGGCCGCACACATCGCACAAAACAATTGCGAAACTGAACGAACTGGAATATGAAGTTTTGCAGCATCCACCATATTCACCGGATCTCTCGCCGACCGATTTTCATTTTTTCAAGCATTTAGAGCTGTTTTTAAGAGGCAAACACCATGAAAATGAAGACAGTCTAAAAAACTCGATATCAGAGTTTATTAATTCTAAAGACCAAAATTTTTTTAAGACAGGCATCTACGCTTTAAAATCTCGTTGGGAGAAGTGTATTGAAGCGAATGGAGCATACTTTGATTGAATAAACAGCTTTTGAAGAAAGATATACAGTTTTATACAATCACTTAAGAATCCGACATTTCATATGCACCAACCTAATAGATAAATTAGCTAATAGTTAAGCAAAAAATTAGAATTACGAGATGAAAAATCATAATTAGTTAACCGGACAGTAATGTAACGCTTATTTTTGCTTTTTTTAAATTTTTATGGAATACGTATATATAATGGCTATAAATCGCGAAACAGATTCTACATTTTAGTCAGTAATCAGGCAGTAAACGATGACGTGAAAAGTATTCGAGTACACACAATCCGGAAAAACGAAACGAAACAAAATTAAACTATCAAAGTGATCTGTTTCTTTTTCCGATCTGATCCTCCGCAGGAAGCCCAGGATACCTCAGAGCGATCATCTGGTCAGCCGACGACTGATATTCATGGCGTATGGCCAGATCGGCGTGATCGAGACCTGTGCGGGTTTTTTCGCATATTTTGTGGTGATGGCGGAACACGGTTTCCTGCCGGGACGATTGCTAGGCTTACGGTCAGAATGGGACAACGCGGCGATAAATGATCTGAAGGATAGTTTCGGTCAGGAGTGGACATACGAGCAACGCAAGATCCTCGAGTACACCTGCCACACTGCTTTTTTCGTCAGCATCGTCATCGCCCAAGTGGCGGACGTAATGGTCTGCAAGACCCGTCGGAACTCGTTGTTGCGCCACGGCATGGGCAACTGGGTGTTGAACCTGGGCTTGCTGCTTGAGATCGGCCTAGCTTGCCTGGTGTCTTATGCTCCTCACATGGATCGTGTCCTAAAAACGTACCCTCTGAAAGCGGAATGGTGGCTGCCCGGACTGCCGTATGCTATTCTTATTTTGATCTACGAAGAGTCGAGGAAGTGGTGGATCAGACGCAACCCGAGCGGCTGGTGGGACAAAGAGACTTCGTACTAGGTGAGATGGTGAGGAGAATGAGATGAAATACTTGAAGAAAAATAATGTAGTTATGAATGGAGAAAATCACGGAAATTATTGTGAAAAATCATTGAGATATTATATTGAGGGAGAAATGTCGCGGGGAAAAGGTCCTCCGATGAACAAAGATGTAAGATAGAGCAAGGTTTTGATTTACGTTCTCTAGAAGGATTAAGGATACGTCACGCAGTTGCATACTACTCGCGGAGAAAATAGTTTCGCAAATAACGACCTTTCGCGACTCTCCATTTTCCACAGTCGTGACTACTGGAGATCACGTTGAGGGCAGTTCTTCACCTTTCTATGAGTAAATTACCGCGATCATCATTGTGATCGTCCTTAAAATTCTCATGCGATAGTATGGAAATGCGACGATACGTAAAAGACAAGAAACTGGATGCACCAATGGACGAAACTGGAATTTCACGTCGTTTCCTCGACGCGCGATGGACTTTAGCGTCCTAAAAATATCTCGCAGGTAAATCGAGAAGGTTACCAGGAAACCGTTGATTTTCGCGAAACTACGCCGTTCTCGTGTCGCGTTCTCCGATGCCTTTGTATCTCATAAATGTTTCACTTTAAATTCTAATTGTCAATTTAGAAAATTCCTCAATATTTTAATTTAAATTTCTGGTAATTTCTAACTCGGAAACTATTGACAAAAATAATATATAAAGTATATTTGTATGTATATATATATATATATATNTACACATATACACATATATACATTTGTATATATATATATATATATATATATACATATATACATAAATACATTTATATATTCTGCACGTAATATACAGTTGCGTTACATTCAATTTCAGACTAGAGGAAAAATAATGCACACATCGCAAAATCAACACGTCGGTGGGCGCTATTGTGCATTTGCGTGCGTGGAAGATCAACGGGTTCTCCTTAGACCCTACGTGGTCACCGAGTGTTGTAATCTCGTATGGTCGATAAAGTGGGGGCCGCATATAAGACCCCGGCGAACGTTCGACCGGGCCCAGTAGTCTCTAGTCATCAATTCCACCACGTTACCACGATTGAGGATCATTGCGAAGTGACGTCACTGAGTCTCCTTTTCCCTCTCTCTTTCAACAAGGACCGTCCCCGTTCTTCAGGATGAAGACGGAGGTGTTTTGTCTTCTGATTTGCCTCGGTGAGCCTCGTCATTAAGTTATCTGTGCTCAAAGTGCGGTCGAGACTGCGAAGTGTGCGAACCGATTTCCCCGCGATTTTGCGCTATGTTCTTTATCGCTAGTATATCGCCTCAAAATATTATGACAGAAACGCAAAACAGTCGTAAGATGTACGGTTTATTCAGTTTTTTGCTTTAAGTAATTTTAACTGATTGAATAATAAATATCTCGACATTAAGATTAATGTTCTTTACTAAACGCCATATGTGGGTCATTTTCCACGCTAACAAGAAACCACTAGCTTCGTCCGTCTGCACCTTTGAGAAACTTTAATTGATTAATTAATATCTAATTACTTTTCATATCTATCTATAAAGTATATTAAAGTACAAGTAATATATTAGTCATTTAGAAATTCAATAATTTTAATATATATTAGAACAAACTATATTAAAAACGTAGCTTGAAAAGTATTCATTTTTTTTTTAAGTCCTTCGCAAATTATTGTTAAAACATATTTATTTTTATATCTTTCATAACATGTGTGTGTGTGTGTATGTGTGTGTGTGTCTGAAAAATGGAAAAATGTACTATTAGGAGAAAAGATTTTCGGAGGTGGACATGTCTGTTCAAAACCACCTGTTACTACTTGGCTGGTTAAAAACGTCGGCCGAGTCTGAATCTACTGCGGCGCGCTCGAAAGCTACCAAGCCGAACCGATTAAACGACATTTAAGTTCTGACCGGCCGGGTGCACATACGGGGGGCCCGGCCACTTTCTCGCTTTCTTCGCTCGCTTGCGAGGTCGACCGGCGTTTCTTCAGGGACGCAGACGACATGCCGCCTTGAAAACTCGCGCGCCGTGAGACCAGTCGACCGCCTTAACATTCACCGTTCACTCATTTTTCCTTTTGCCTTTTTATTCTTAATTTCTCTTTATTTCTCCCCTTCTCTCAACAGCCCACGACACGAAGCTGTCGCCGATTCTGAGTGTTTGAAGGACATCGAGGTGCGATTGAAGCCTGGTTTTGCGAAATCCTCGAGAAGAATGAAAAGAATGAAAAGATCGAAATTTTGTATAAGTTTCACCAATTTGTGTGACTAACAATTTATTAACCGGAACGATGAAATTCTTAAACGATCGCATGATAATCATGAAAATTTTCACTTCAAAAAAATAAAAATGTTTCAATATTCACTTTATTGTTTGTTTTCTACTAATTAACTATTTACTTGATTTTATCTCACTACATCCTAGACAGTAATGATCCTTTTTAACGGAATCAATTCTTCGTCACAGGGGTTGTTACCGCCTTGACGAGGAAGCAAGAGGCTGCCGAACAGAGTCGTCGTAAGGCCGCTTCGGCAACAACACCAAAACAAACAGCAGCCGCGGAGGAAGAGTACGAGGACGACGATGAGCTTCTGGATCAGTGTCCAGAGCCAAACGGTTATTTCCCGGACGCGTATCAATGCGACAAGTATTACGATTGCCGTGATGGCAAGATCATCGAGAAACTGTGCCCGGACGGTCTCGTTTTCAACGACTTCAGCCCCCAACATGAGAAATGCGATCTGCCGTTCGGTATCGATTGCTCAAAGAGGCCTAAACTACGTAAGCGTGCAATTTTATAATTGACGATCTCACTTCCCGTTAAATATTTTGTTTCAAGAAGAAAGTATTCGTACACCTTATTCTTTATGGAATCAATTTTCATCGAGACACAAAAAGAGACAGAGAGAAAAATATCGAATAGAAATGATTTCTATTCGAGTGTATTGTGTATTATATTTTGTACCACTATATCGAATATAAGAAAAATAAAATTCTATTGCCATACACATAATATGTAAACCTGACCGTCGCTAACAAATCGGTTTTTTACACAGAGAAACCTCAACCATCACCCCATTGTCCCCGCATGCACGGCTACTTCGCTCACGAAGATACAAGAAACTGCAACACTTTCTATTATTGTGTGGAGGGCAAGTTCAACATGATTACATGTCCAGAGGGTTTGGTATTCTCCGAAAAGACCGGCATCTGCAACTGGCCGGACGAAGCACAGAAAAAGGGTTGCGGTTCCCGCGAGCTCTTCAATTTCACGTGTCCTGTGGTCGACAATTCCGTGGCGGCCACACATCCGCGCTACCCTGACAGCGAGGATTGTCAATATTTCTACGTGTGCGTCAATGGCGAGATACCCAGGCGAAGCGGATGCAAGCTCGGTCAAGCTTTCGATGAGCGCACCGGCAAATGCGACTGGGCCAGGAAAATACCCGAATGGTACGAAAGCAGTCGCGTAGTTCGACAACATTTAATTTCACTTGCGACAGAAAATGTGATTTTTTAGACACTCACGACTTATTGATGCAAATTTTTCGGAATCCTTATTTTTCATTTGAACAGAAATTCAAAAATTATTGTATTTGTTAGGAAATGTCGATCGATGTCCATATCAGACAGATGAACATGGACGTGAGAAAGATCATCAGTACATTACGTTATCACTTATGAGTGATCTTTTCAAAATTGACAAAGATAGAAAAATTTGTATCTCGAATAAGTTTGTTTTCTATATAATTTTCATTTTGTCATCAAAAATATATTTAAAGCGAACAATTTAATTACAGTAAAGACTGGTATAAGGATCAACTAACTGACGAAGAACTCGACGCTTTGGAGAATCCACCGCCGAAGCCCAAACCTACAGGTGGACCAAGCAGAAGAAAAAGCAGCAAGCCGACATAGGGTCGAGTTCTTAGATTAGATTAGATTATTTTTGTAGGATTTTAACACACTCTCTCTCTCTCTCTCTCTCTCTCNTCTCTCTCTCTCTCTCTCTCTCTCTCTCTCTCTCTCTCTCTCTCTCTATTTTTAAATCGACCATTGTACAATAAATTTATCTTTACTACAAACAGATTTTTTAAGTTGCATTTGCACGTTAATCCTATCTTTAATTATAATTGACTGAGAAAAAAATTATGATGTAATTTCTGCTTAGATTCATTTAGATAAAACGAGAGATAATTTCTTTTCTTTCGATAATTTAGCAAAGATAAGTCATGTTTTGAAGAAAACTACTCGAAAAGTCCCAACGCCCAACGAACGATACATTTATACTTTTATAATTCGCACATTTATACATCTTTCTAATCTCTCCCGCTTTATCAAGTTTTGAATCTTTCTCTCTATTTTCCTATAGAATTATATAGTTTGTAGAATCGAGAGATCGATTGCATTAATGGCCTTATTTACATAGATTATGGTGACATAAGTCAAGAAACATGCGAAACGCTTCCGCAGAACACGTTTTAAATTCTCGCCAGCAGTGAAAGTGTGATATCGATCGACGTTCCACGCATTTCACGAATTAAACGTTTCCGAAATCCAGTAGTATCTCTAATGTAATGCTTTCGTAAGTGCCAAGATGTATAGTATATATTTTACGTAAGTAGCATCGAGTAGCACAAGAAAAAACATTGTTAGAATCTTCTGACAAATTAAACTTTAGCCTCGTATAGATATCATAGTAATAAATAGTAAATTAAAATAAAATTTCGGTCGGTTAAAGAATTAAATTAAATTTTCATTTTAAAGATATTTCGAAGAATAATTAAGGTAAATCCGAATTTAGATTTTAAGCGGTATTTCCGCGATAATGGTTCGATCGAATAGACACCGCTGTATCGAATCGTTAAAAGCCTCACTTTCCCGTGGAAAAACATCGGAAGATATTAGAATAAGAACAAGAGCAATGCAGGAAGAGCATCTCTGTATATTGCAAGAAAAAACTTAGCCATATCGCAGCCGCAATATACAATATGTATCCGGGAGGATTAACCTTTTGCAGTGGTTAACCTATCCAGTTACTATGATCCATATTATACATATATAATTAGATAAATAATTGAACTATATTTTAAATTTACGCATAACGAAACTGCTTTAACTTGATCTCTTATTGCATAATTTTGTATAATAACGAGAAAATGTGTATGTAAAAAAGATTGTGAAGAAATGACGCAAGTCATTGATCAAAAGATTAAATTTTTTCCAACATACTTCGCGTATGACCTTATAAAAAATTCTTATTCAAAACAATTATAATATGAGATCTTTTAAATAATAAGGTCGTATAAGAAGTGTATTTCTTGAAACAATCAAAGGGAGAGTGAAGGTGAATGTTAAATGGTAGTTAAATGAAGAAAGCTTAACAAAAGCTATCGTTTCCTGGTAAACCGCAGCTAGCGATGCGTAAGTAATATTCTTCGTTTGAAGTTTGGAGACGGTAGTTACGTAGGAATGGAGAGCAAAAAATTGCTCTGATTCCAGGATGTTCATACTTTCATGGAGTTTGCTCTTCTTACCTCGGGCTTTTGATTTTCCCAGATGTTGTTAAGTCTTCGTATATTTAAAAGAGTAAAAAAGTAAATAAACATCTCACTAAATATATATAAAACATTATCTTTTAAGCACAAATGCGCATGTATATAATAAGCAAATCTGTGAAGCTTCAATTTGCTCAAAAGGTTTTTTGTTTATATAACACAATTTTTCTTTCCTACTCTCTCGCGTTTGTTTTATTGGGAAATAAATGCGAAAGATTAACGGAATGATGTGGTTTAATTGAAATATTGGCGAAATTGCCTTTTTTGTCCGTCTTAATGCCATCTCCGGACATTTACCCGTCATCGTGCCACGATTTGCATTTTTCTCCTCAAGGAAGAACGCGATGAAGGATATCACGGTGAGAGTACCAAGATAGAAAGAGCAAGAGAGAAGAATATATAGGCCTTTCTCTCTCACTCTTTCTCTCTCTCTCTCTCTCTCTCCTTCTTTCTCTTTCACTCTCTCACTCTTTCACTCTCAATTACTCGATCTTTATTCTCGGTGGGCGTCCATCGATGAAAAGTAACAGCGAAAGTGGGATTTGCGAAGCATAGTGGGGATTCGCGGGGTATACCCGGTTGGCGAGTAGCCGAAGAGCTGCAGTTCCGCGAGGGCGACGCCATTCCAAAGAGGCACCAAAAATTAGATAGCCCAATTTCATCCCGTTTCGCCCGTCAGTGAAATCTCAGTGAGACCTCAGCGATCCAAGAGCAACCTGTGACGATCCGGCAGAAAAGCAAAAGAACCGGAAATATGATCACGCCGGGAGTCGTCACGTTGCTGGCCGTGATCGCGCTGACACGTGAGTAGCAATTGTTAAGCTATTAAGCGGGTCTACGAGAATGAAATTCGACGGAGGAGCTTTAAAAAAATTACAAAGTGTAATTTTCACAGTGCTGAAAATTATTAATTGAAATAAGTTTCTTTTTGCGGCGATTTAAATTAACGTTGAAAATTATCGATCGTTAAATATATGATTTCAATCGTCGTTTGCATATATATTCCTATCTAATTTTTCCAAGATATAATTATACATGCATTTCGTTATGAATAAATAAGTAAATGTATAGTTTCAATTATATAAATTAATTTTTTAGACAGATATGTTTCAGCTCTTCTCTTTTATCCCCTAAAATGGAGTCTCGTACAACTCCATCGCGAAATTAACAACAGCGACGTTTTCTCAAACGACGTACTTTCTCCTGAATTCTAAATACTTCGGTTCGTTTTTCAACGCAATAAATCATGCATACGCGATAGTCTTTTATTTTTATACCGATCAAGCGACATATAGCAGAAATATGCGTAAGCTCGCGGGTAGCTCAACAGAGACAGTGCGAGAGCAAACTTTCTAAAGTGTAAATGTCAGTTCTCTCGCTTGGCGGGTTGCATAAGTGTGGTCGAGTGCGCAGCCGAGACAAAATTACATAAGGCCACGAAATAATTCCGAAAGAATTCGACAGATAGGACAGGTCGGACGGGTTCGGTCACTTCGTTGCCGGAAACCCAGGATCAGATAGATTTCCGTCTGCGATTTCCTCATCGAATGATCACGTTCTGAAACACGCACGTGTCCATGTAAAAGTGAACAGATTTCACGTACACGCAACGTCAAAACTATCCTCTGTAAAATAATGTGACCCGATGTAATTTATCTACAATGGAATTTCCAACAGTTTCATGATCGTCACGATAGTCACGATATCTAATATTTCAAGTTTCTCTCTCGCGAGATCCGCAAAGCGCGAAATACAATACCCGGCAAACCTTGGTCTTCAAATCTGATAAATCTCGATATATTTGAGTGCTTATTTTTCTATGATGTCGCAGATGCCGCGTACAATTGTCCCAATAAAGACGGCCAATACGAGGACAACAAGCAATGCGACAAGTATTACGAGTGCATTGACGGAGTTGCGTCGGAGAAGCTGTGCCCGGATGGTCTCGTGTTCGATCCTCTGAATCGTAAGGTCAACAAGTGCGATCACGTTTTCAACGTCGACTGCGGCGACCGTCTTGAATTACGTAAGAGATACCGATACACCGATCGGCCGTAATGTATTATTCCGTGTGGATATTTTTTGGACGATGAGAACGTCCGATGCACCACAGAGTGTCGGTTGATATAGTGTTACATGATCGATTACCATCGACGATGCTTGCCCAACAGAACCGCCACAGCCGACGAAGAAGTGTCCGCGACGAAACGGTTTCTTCGCACACCCTGACCCGTCCGTCTGCAACATCTTCTACAACTGCATCGACGGCGAGGCGATCGAGATCACCTGCACCACCGGCCTGCACTTCGACGAGTACAGCGGAACGTGCGTGTGGCCTGATAGCGCGGGTCGCGAGGTAAAGAGAAGGTCGCGAAGAAACCATGTTTCTTCGTCTGGCGCTTCGTCCGTTGCGATTATTAATTACAGTCGCATCTATAACGTTAATTGACGTTACTCCGAGAGGCAGGTTGCATCAATTCTGAAAACCGTAAGACAATATTCCCCGTGTCTGACTCAGCATTAAATTGATTTCGGTAATAACTGATAAAGAAATTTATTAAAAATTCGAACCTTGTTACAGAGAAGTCGTACGCTTCTCCGTTAAATTTATAATCAAGAGAAAGTACGCGTCCCCTCTAAGTACACTCTCCGCGGGCAACGCGTACTTTCTCTCAATTATAGTTGTAGATTCTCCGGCTAATCTGAAATTGATATCTCTGTACAATTGGCGAAACTTTTTAAATTAGAGCGAAATATTGAGAGTCCAATAAATTTTTCGTTCAAGAAGCGTGGGTGAGAAAACTTTACGGTTCTCGATTAAGTAGACGCTCTTAGCAAAATTTATAGGTTTACAGCAGTTTCTTCAGTAATGAAATGCTAATCAACGTAATCGTATAGAGTACAGCCTGGAAATGAAAGAAATTATGAAAAGATAATAATAATATTGATAATGTCTAATATAATAGAAAGTCAATTATAGATTTATCGAAAAATCTTAATTAAATGAATAAAGAGGAAGCCTTTCGACTCTAATTTAAAAAGTAATCTTTATCACATAAATTGCTCGACGCAGGGCTGTGGAGTTGTGGGCAAGAAGCTGAAGGACGGCTTCGAGTGCCCGACCGAGGGCCAGGTCGACAGCAGGGGCATGCTGATCGACCATCCTAAGTTCTCGCACCCTGAAGACTGTCAGAAATTCTATGTGTGTCTGAACGGCGTAACACCGCGTGAGCAAGGATGCAGCGACGGCACCGTCTACAACGAGGAGCAGCAGAGGTGTGACGCGCCTGAGAACGTCCCAGGATGGTACGAATCTCATTCGTCATTTACTATATAAATTATTAAATTGTTATAACAAGTCATCGTTATTAACAGTGGTCGCATTTTAAACCGTAATTAATCAATTAACGATATTCGATCTCTGCTATTTTTACCACACAGAGAATTTTGTTGTCACTACTATTGCTATTACCAGCTGTTTTTAAAAATAACCGAATATATCTTGAGCTTTGTTAATATTATCATCATTGTATTGCATTTAAAATTATAATTCGAGGAAGTAATTGTCGTTTGCCTTGCAGCGAGGATTGGTACAAGGACGACGACAAGAAGCCATAAAGGAATTGTCGACGCTTATCTGTCCCGCATCGGGACGCCCGCGTTCACTCTAATCACGTGTCACTCCTGCTCAGCGTGTTAACCCACGTGTGTGTGTGTTTAGATATCTGAATAAGAGTTATTTTTACTTTACGGGTCTGCTACTTAATTAAATTCCCCCAACTCCCTTTTCCAGTACTCCGATACAAATTTTTAACACGACGACTGATTAATAAACAAAATATTAATAATTATTAATTACAAATCGCAGTGTTGCTTCACGGAAATGTAAAACGTATCCAAAGATCTAATCAATAAGTGATTTGGCTAAATCCAACTAACAGAATTCATTTTAGTAAAAAATTTCTTAAAATCTTAAATGTATTTTTTTCCGTTTGATTTCACACAGCTCAGTCAATTTTCAGACTGAAAATACTATTTTGGAGATTATTCTGAGATAAAATTAATTAACTAACGTTAACGAAATTGAAATCGATTAACTCGTGATTGATTCATAAATTTTACGATTTTGAGGAGGGAGCTTCGATTAAAGAAAAGCTCTGCTGCTAATAAATTCTCGAGTATTCGAGAAACGCGCAGAGGCCTTGAATCTCTCGCTTCCAGATCGGCCAGCTATTACTTTCTCCCGAACTGTTCCCTTGCTTCTCGTTTACTGATTTGATCGCTCTTCCCCTCCTCCCCTGGCGTTAAATCGACGATTAGCAGTGAGATCGACAGATGCATCTTGCGCTCTTTCGCTCCGCTTTCTCAGATATTGATCAAAAACGGCTTTTAAAAAAACGTTCGCGCCAGAAAGAATGATATCTTGCAGAGAGTAAGAATAATAAAAATAACGATAAAACCAAGTGAGAAATCCGAAATCCTTTCGAACGAAAAGAATATAAATGAAATAAATTACATAAGATATATTTCCCCGGCAAAATACCGCGGTCACACGTTACTCGGTTGAATTATCGCGATTTAACTTTCCCATTCACGAGGGCCCGTCGCAAATGTCACTTGCTGAAGATTTTTTGAAGATCAAATCTGCCCGGCAAGAGATTAAATTCCACAGCGTTCGTGATGTTATTTAAGGTGATTTCAAATAATTGCCCGTTCACTCCATCAACGCTCTGACGGGTAATTATTTCTGAATCTACGTGGGGTCCGCATTTCTCGATCTGCAAGAGATGGAGAGAGATGGTTTCAGACAATTAACTAGCGCGTATAATCGTTACATTAACTTAAGCAAACATACCGTTCCGCTTTCGAAAATACCTCGGCTCGATTTCCAGAATCGACTCGATATCAATTTCAAGGTACAAATTGTGAGCGCNGGGGGGGGGGGGGGGTGTAAATCGTGAGAACGGTAGCGGCGACACGCCAGTCGCCACCCGGAAGTCTCTGGAATTTATCTATCTGTGGCCGATAATAGCGCGATGCAATAAAACCTGTACCCATTAGAATGCACTCGCACCGAGAGAAAAGGGGGCGAGTCTCGCGAGCGAACGAGACAGAGAAAGGACGAGAAAGAGAGAGAGAGAGAGAGAGAGAGAGAAAGAACTTTCGGCGAAAGGGGGGCGAAACTGAAGAGCCGGGAGGAGGGAGGTTCGGGAAATACACACCAGCAAGGACTCCACGCAAGGTGGTGGCGAGACTGCCGAGCGATTCAGGACACGTTTCAGTCACGTTTTACCAGCGTCGCGACGTGTTGCTGCCGACGAAGCCGAAGAGGAGGGCGGAGAAGACGAAGAAGAGAAAAAGGAAGGGAAGTAGAAGGAGAAGAGAACGCCTCTACGAGACGAGGGCTACCGGTAGGAACTCTAAGACTGTCCCTTGGAAACTGTCTTCGAGATGTCGTGGTCGACGAATCACGTGGTTCTTCGCGGTCTTCCGTTGCTGGTCATCATGGCGACCTTGAGTGGGGCACAGTTCCGGTGTCCGGAACTCAAGGGTTTCTTCGCTGATTCGGAGCAGTGCGATCTCTACTATACCTGCGTGGACGGTCAGGCCGAAGAAAAGCTCTGCAAGGACGGACTCGTCTTCAGGGATGACAATCCCAAGAAGGAACTCTGTGACATACCGGCGAACGTGCCCTGCGGCGACCGTACCCTCCTACGTAAGTTGGTTTCGCAACGTGGGAGATATCTGCGACCTTTCGCGAGCTTTTCGCACCGGAGACCAACTTTTACTAACCTTTTCTATACGTTGTTTACACGTCACTTTTCTCATCCGGAATTAAAAGTGAAGCGAGACTCCTCGAGATTATCAGCACCATTAATTATTCGCGCCCGAAAAAGCCAACAGTTCCAATTCAGAGTTTTTCTCAGGGATAATAATTTTCCACTTGCCAGGGAAAATTTTCTTCGAATATACGCATGTATATATATAATTCACCAAAGAAATATTTGAAATATTTAAACTTGGCCACTTCTCTTATCATATATGCATTCTTGCGGCTCGACATACCAGAAGAAGAATAGCCGGTTAGACAGTGTTGCGAAAATAGAACTCGGAGTGAACCGGTTTCTTCGGCCGGCAGACAATCCAATTCTTTCTCGGATTCGGTTGCTCCGGTCGCTCTCTGAATTTCCTTCGCGCGCTTTCTCGCAAAATATTATATTATGTGCAGCATTATATTATATCGCTACATATCGATACATTACTCACGATTCTTCCTCACACGTATGAACGAACGACGCGAATAGTAACAATAACACGATCCGGTTGCAGAGGAGCCACACTCGAGCAAAGGTTGTCCTCGTGCGAACGGCTACTTCACGCACGAGGACCCGACCGCGTGCGACCGCTTCGTCAACTGCATCGACGGAGTGCCGCAGGTGGTGCCCTGCCCACCCGGATTAATCTACGAGCCGAAGATGTCGAGTTGTGTCTGGCCGGCTGACGCTAGCCGTCTCTGCGAAAACGTCAAACGCGACGTCCTCGACGACGGCTTCGTCTGTCCGGACGGAGACGTTGCCGGCCCGTCCGGCAGGATCCTGCCGCACCCGACCTACCCGCATCCCGAGGATTGCGCCAAGTTCTATATCTGTAAGAACGGCGTGGTGCCGCAGAAGGGCCAATGCGAGAGCGGCACCGTTTACAACGAGGACAGCTTCAGGTGCACCGAGCCCGAATACGTGCAGGGATGGTGAGTGTCATATTTTCGTTCAGATGTTTGATCCTTCGGCGACGAAGCGGCTACAAATTACAAGAGCGTCGAAGCGAGCTACTTGTTGATGTGTTTAACTCACAAATCGAATGCGACGACTCAAGGTAATTTCTCCGCTCTCGTCTCGACAAGGACACCGAATTACCCGTGCGAGATTTATCGTAATGACGAAATCCGCTCGAATGTTTCAGCGAGGACTACTACAAGCGCAAGAACTGAGCTGGGAGAAGGCGCCGGTTTCAACCGCGGCTACGTATATGTGTGTGTGTGTGCAACGCCTTATCTTTTTACTCGTAGGAACAATAAACGCGTGATTTGCGCGCTCGCTTACATAAACGCCGCGCGTGCTCTTTGCGAGAGCGATCTCACCCGCTCCGCTCCACCCGCCACAAATTACTACCCCTTTCTCCTTTTACGTAAACGAATTCGCCCGTCGGAAAATCCGCGCCGCGTCGTTGCGGATCACTTGCTCGCGGAACGACGATATCGCCGCTGTGTTAATTCCCGAGCTGTTGAGACGTTAGGTAAACTCAGCGCGAACCGGTCCGATTTTATATAATTATCGATTATACGCGACCGAATTTTATTATTAAAGCGCGCCGATACGCGCACACGCATGCCGCTCGTCCGCAATTCCGTGATTAAGTAACCCCGTAATGAGATTATTTATTATATTCCATTCGGGAGTCGATCCACTTTCACTTTGGACGTTGTTTTTAGGTAACGTCGTTTTTAAACCGGTACAATAAGAATTGCGCTGCGTTGTATCTCGACGATGTTTTTGCACGCATTTTACACGGCCTCGAAAATCCACCCCGCCCCGGCAAGTCTGAAATTAGTTTTTTATATTTGAATCAGCTTAAGGATATTCAGAGATTCCACGCCGAACCTATACCGTAACTTTTACAGCACGTAAGAGAAATATGTACGATGAGTGATCAATAAAGTAATCGAGCGATAAACACGTTGCGAGACCGATTATACCGCCAGCCTTTAAAATCGTCAAATTATTCCCTGAGAATAATTACCAGAGCAACTCGTGAGTTTCGACGGTTCGTTTCTAAGTTAACCGAGCGATCCCCGAGTCGAGTACTCGAGGTAATTGAATCGCATTTTACATCGCAAGAGTTGGCGGAGAATCGTGCGCGAGCTAAATCGTTAATATTCCATCGCGAATTACGGACGTGACTTTCTCTGACGCGAGAGATTGGACATCGAAAATCCTCCCCACGATGCTCTAGAATGCGTAGCGAGAGATGAACTTCGCGAAATTGCACCTTCGAACATACGTACCCGGATTTCACTTCGGCGAATCAAATGCCAGACGCAAGAATCAGTCAACCGGTTCCATTATAACGTTACATCGCAACGTCTGACATTATAAATGTTGCAGCTTTGTATTTTGTATTAAAGGACAACGTTCCCTCGTCGACGACGGAACTTCTGGCTCTCTGTAGAGAGCAGAGGAAAACGTTACGGGACGAATCGCGACTCGGGTGACTCTCGATGTGATAAAATATGCGGCGCACACACAATGAACAACGTGCCGCGGTTTTCCGAGCTGCGGACAATTTCTCTTCGTTTGACCGATTACAACCTTTCTCTTTACGTAATGCGCGATGTGCTCGACGAAATACACTTCGATCCCATTCGCATTTCGTATGTGAATCCGGCACGTTTCGTTTTCAACACAAAATTTTTTACTGCGTAGGAAATCGTAATCTCTAAAATCGCTAGATCATCAGCCGTCATCGTGACGTATTCTCTTCGATCTCCCGACGATCGATCTATCGACACGCTCAGCTCGGCTCGGCTGCTTTCACTATCCGGCAATCTGGCGTCGTGAGGCCAGCGATGGGTCTTGCGTAAGGCTAGTTGAGGCCCCGCAGGGGCCTGCCTGCGCACACATACGGTCGCGTCGGTGTTCGTCGAGAGATCACGTGTTCGCCGTTTCGCACACACACGTTTTAGTTAGACGATTACACGTGTCCGCCGGTTACACCGGTACAGAAATGCGCGTTACACCTCCGGAGTGATGTCACAGCAGGAGGATCGCGCCTTGGCATTAACCGTCGGACGCAATCAACCGTTACTGGATTACCGTATTCTTATTTCCGCAAAGAACTCAATTTTCCTCGGTGGAGGAAATCAAATCCAAATAAATAAACGTTTAACAACAGAACTAAAGAGCGCGGAATATAAACGCAAATAAATAAATATGGACAAATACGAAACGAATGGAGATTGAAAAAATGCTGAATAGGTTGTTTTTTTGCAATTATGCTAATACCTGAAAGAATCATTGTTCAAATTTTTATTGCGACTTCGGTCATATTGAAAATAATTATCAGCCTTCTAATCTTCACCACGTATGTATCAGTGCATCGAATTCATAATATATCGTTTCCGAAGTTCCTAAATGCATCTCAAGCAAAACGTTGCTCGTTAGAGTCGTGATTTCCCGATTGCTGAAATCTCTTCTCTCCCGTCAGACAACACGCAATATCTCAGAATCGCGAGAGGTATGGCGGGCATTATAATTGCGATATCCCGAGTTGTCAATTATTCGAAGCGTCGAGAGAGACACACGAGATAATATTTCTACCTGCGCAGCCGTTCACCGAGCGCAGGAGTATGCATTATTAAGTATGCGGGGAAAAGACGCGAGCTTGTGCAACAAAGTTGCTTGCGCGGAACATGTGTACATACATACATACACACGTGCGCAATTGCGTCCCCAGACATTTCGCGCCGAGAGATACGGCGGAGAATCGCGCTTTGGCATTAAGCGCATCTCCGGCTAACGCGTCATCTATTCATGAAAGACATATTCTCACACAATGCTGCGCGATGCCGGCGGAGATTAGAAGGATTAGAGATCGAGACGCGAATCTCTCTCGAATGTTCCTTTGTGTCCCGAAGGATACTTCGCAGGCTTGACTTGAGCGGATTAACGCGTCGGGATCTCGTGTATTCTTGACTACATCGGAAACCTTCGAAGATCCTTCCTCCAAATTTTCACCGCGCGATCTCTTCATGAATATTCAATCATCTCCATCATATTAATTCGCAAATCGCCTATATTTCAATAGGTTTCCGGGCTTCGAGTTTCCAAAACTCCTTTCAAACTTCCCTTTCCTCCCGTCTTCGCGGCAAATTTGCTCGCTCTCTCTCTCTCTCTCTCTCTCTCTGTCACTCAGTGGATCTTCTGACGGAATAAGACCCAGTCAGGCCGAGGTGCGGGACAACCTATCACACGCTCGGAGTCGCTGAACGTCGCGCGACGGCACAAGCTAAGCAAGCAAAACAGCGGCGATCCAGGGGGACCCGGAGGAACACCGGGGTGGGGTCCAGTGATGGTGTGGTGAAGGGAGTGAAGGGAGTCGAGGAGACTGTCGTGTACCGAAGTGTACCGAGGCCGATAAGTGCGCGCCAATCGGCGGCGGTCCGACTTCAGTCAGTAGTCACAGAGTCCAGTAGCCAGGCGTCGAAGAGATCGTTGAGCTCGAAGAGGGACCGCGATGATGAGTTGCTACCCGAGGAGCGTGACCCTGCTGTTGGTCCTGGCGGTCCTGGCACGTAGTAAGTTCTCCATTACCACCACTACCACCTACCGCCGCCACTATCACCTGCACGGCCACCTTCACCTCTCGATGCACGATGTCACGCATCCCCGATGACCGACTCGGGATGTGCTCGTTCGCCTCTTCTTCTTCTTCTTCTTCTCTCGTGCATCCGAGAGACGTGGGCTGCGCCTCCGCAGGCGTATTCTGCACTTTCTACCTCGCGTGCGTCTCCTTGCGAGGCTACGGCATCACCCTCGTGAGGCTTTCACCGTCCACACCATATGTTAGGACGTGTGTGACATAATGGCCGTCGCCATTCTCTGGCAAGTCGCGACAAATTTCGCGTTCGATCCGGGCCTCAGTCTTTTTAAGCTCGCGACATTCACACCGTCGAAAAAAATTGGAATTCTTCGTGAATCGTTTCCGCGTGACGGCGGTCAGCTCCGCGCTTTCGCGCTGCATCTTTTTCGTGTTGCCGAGCGCTCGTCACACTCCGCTTCGCTGTCGAAACGCGAGCTCGAGGGAAAAAATTCCGGGGGGGAGCTAATGTTCGCGAGGCTGTCATGCGAAACGAGTCTTTCATCGCGTTGAAAATTGCTGCGAGAGTTGATCAAACTCGATCGGCCGCGTTTCTCGTCGGTGCAGATTTTTGCCGTCGTCATTCGCGAGAGCAGCTAATGGCACGCCGTTTAATTTTTTTTTTTAACTGGCGACAATTCTAATATGTATTTTTAGATATATGCGAACTATAAAATAATATCATATAAATAATATCACATAATACACCCTACAAAAAATAAATCAATATTATACTGATCCAATTGTATCCAATTGTATTTTAAGGTTGAAAATGGAAGAATAAATATTTATCGTCGCGCATTATGCGTATGTGTGTATGTGTGTTATTCTATTTTTTTATGTATCTCACGTTCCACAGCCCAGGGAGCCGCCTTACTCGGTGCCCCGCCGTGCCCCGACCCTTACGGAGTTCATGCTTACGCTCACCCTGAGGACTGCGGATCCTTCTTCCTTTGCACTAACGGTACTCTTTCGTTCGAAAACTGTGAGAACGGGCTTATGTTCGACGGACACGGCGCTATCTACAACCACTGTAATTACAACTGGGCCGTTCAATGCGGCAAACGCAAGGCCGACTGTAAGTACATCGCTCCACATCCTCAATATTCCATCCATCCGCTACCTTTCGAAATTGTTTATGTTTTTTTGTCGTTCAACCCTCACCTTGTCCCTTATTTTTCGTATCGTTATTTTTTCGCAAAGCCACGCAGTTTGTATGTACGAGCGAGAACCACTCGTCAGTCGCGCGAAGGAACATTGTCGTGAAAGTAAAAGTTGCGCCAAAGAGAGCGATTTTGGCAGCGCCTTAGTGGGTCACGTTAACGCTGATCGTTATAATTCCAGCCTCGAGCGAGTATCTGAATCTTTTTACCTCGTTTATTTCTCCGCCGATACGCATGTCACGCGGTTCTCCAATCTCCAAACCCTCGTTTCTCCTTATTAAATCTCTTTTCTGTTTTTTTTTAGAAGAAAGAATTAATTCGCTCCTGATCGCCATATAACACAATTTTCGAAAATTCTTTTACGGAACGGATCGATCTTTTTTTTTCTCAGACACACCCATCAGCAGTCCCGGCTGCGAGTATCAGTTTGGCATGTACGCAGACAGTGGTAGCTGCAGCACCACCTACATTAAGTGTGTCCACGGTGAACCGCATCAGGCCCATTGCGATCCTGGTCTGGTCTACAACGCCAAGACTCACACGTGCGTCTGGCCCGACGAACTCATCCCCTTCTGCAACCCCGAAGCCATAGTAGGCTTCAAGTGCCCGCACAAATTGCCGCCTAACAGCCCCGCCAAGAAATTCTGGCCTTTTCCGAGGTAACGTGATTACGATACGGTTACGGCGCGGTTGATGCGCTTCCGAGAAATCGCGCGTAATGAGAGTCCACGCAGAAATAAAAATGACTACAGGGAATCAATGCACTCTTCCTCGGGTGGGCGTGTGGTCAATGCGCTCGATTCTTCGTCTCGCTTTGCTTTCTCTTTAGGAAAGAGGCCGATTCGGTGGCATTAATAAGTGCATGTGCGTCTTTGAGTGTCTTTAAGTATGTTATTCATTATTTTTAATCGCTACCTGCACATATTTCTCTCCTTCCCTCTTTTTATTTATTATTTAAATTCTACACACACACACACACATATATATAAAATTAATATCTGTGATAAATATATCTATAATTTTGTTCAAAATTAATTCGTTTTATTGTTTTCAAGTTAAAAGATTATACACAATCGGAATTAAATTTTCTTTTAAGTGATATTAATTCTACACTCGATTCTTTCATTCATTATTCGTTTATTTTATATGCTATCTAAAAATAGAATCTATATGTCGGATTTCACTGTTAGATTTCAATACATAATTCATACAATTGCACGTATTTCCGCTTGCGTTGTGTTGTATTTATTAATGACAATGCGCACGTCATCTTTCTACGGCCGCAGGCTATAATAAAGTTTCTTATCTCCATCTCTTCCTTCCTGTATCTTCTCTCTCTTTTACCTCGAGGAAGATTCGGGGAGGAAATACTGCGCACCGTCGAATGCGAGAGTAAAAGGAGTGAACGCAATTAAATGTCAGACCGTTCGCGTTTTGTGCGTACCTCACGATTTAAGAACCGGTCGCCTTCCAAGGGACTTGAAGAGAAAGAGAGAAAAACAGATGAGACAAATGCCGGCACTTGTTTGCGAATATGCCATTTCCTACCACGTCAGCGAACGAGTAGCTTTTTCTCTGCGTATTATGCGGAGTATACCAAAGGCTGAATTATGTTATTTGAAATAGAAAAAATGTTCGAAAAACTAAAAAAATATATACGTACATAATTTTCCAAATCAAATATCGATTTAGAAAAATATAAATACGCGTTAAATATGAGGCAATTTTTAGATTCCCCGTGCCAGGTGACTGCGGTAGATTGATCACCTGTGTGGACGGACATCCACGACTTCTTACTTGTGGAGATGGAAAACTTTTCGATTCGGTGAGCCTGACTTGCCTGGAACCCGATGACGTTCCTCACTGGTCTGTATTTATATTTTTTCATTACGCTGTGTGAAATAATTAATTTTTTCATCTAGGACATATTCAAAATAATTTTGATATTTTCAAAATATTATATATTAAACGTTAACCTAATTTAATCTTGATAAAGAACGTAAGTAAATATTTCCTCTGATCTTCTGAGTATATACTTATGTTTATTTTAGCTCCAACCATCTGTAAGCATGGAGACGCATTCCTGATACCCGATGCTTCAAGTCAGCAAACGCGAAAATAATTAACGGAAAACAAAAGACGAAGAATTTGACACATTTGTTAATTGTTTAAATTTTTGCAATGAAGTACAGATATTAGTTCAAGATTCATGTACATTGTCGAATCATGTGCAAAGCTAAAAATTAAGTGCGCACTTGTAAAAATAAGATTTAAAAAATCGAACGAGGTAAAAAGAAAATTAATTGCAAGACATAAAAGATCAAAATTTGTAAAACTACAACAAATAAAAAACACGCGCGTAAGAAATTAATTTGAAAATATCAGTGGAAAATTACGAGAGACGCGATATTGGAACAAATCAATCAATCAACAACGATGAGTAAAAAAATGTACATTTTCGTTAGTTCCTGCTAAGTAGCTGTTGTTGCAAATAAACGAGGATAGCAAACGTAAATTATTAATAACGTCCGTTCGAAGGGGGAGAGTAATCGCATGTAGCGTACGCGAAGAGTGAGTACGATATGTAGTACATATAGTGTATTTATAATACGATATATATGTAATACATATATAAAATGTATATTTATGATAAATAGAGTGTAACAATGTACAGCCAGGCAACATCGAATAAAATCTGGACACGCGTATAAAAAAATATACAACGTACAATTTTTCGATCGCGATCTACGTATATATCTTACGATTAAGAACGATGAGGAGGAGGAAATGGTAGGATAGGAGGGAAAAGGAGTGAAAGGATTGGGAAAAATATTTACATCTCGACCGAGGTGATAAAGGCAAATTAGTAGACGGTCTTAAAACCGAATAACGAGATGTTTATAATTAATATTATTATTAATCGATAATACGAGTCTCTATTCGCGGGGGAGGGAGGAGAGCTCGATCGGTCGGTGTGTCGACGAGTCTCAGTCCTTAGGACTGGAAATTCCTCACTAAACAACCGCTTTTAGCATTTTAGTCTTTACAGTTCCTTGCTTTCATTCCGTTTTGTGTCTTTTCCATTAATAATTTTGCACATTTCATCGTTTCTTTCCATCTTTTGACAATTTGTGCTTTTTAGCCTCAATATCTTTTATCCGTCCCAAAACTTTTTAACTGACCTGTATCTTTTATTTTTAATTTTATTCCGGCTTTTCTAGTTAATAAGATATTAATAAGATATCTAGAGTGTTTTGTATATTTTTTAAGAATTTTCGACAATTACGTCGCTAAAAGTTCCAAAATGAAAGTAACGAGGAAGCCCTTTATAAGTTTTCTGGACAATCTCGGAGAATTATCAATGAGACTTTTGATCTGTTCTTCTTAGCTGCATTGCTGAACTAGTGCAGCTAAAAAAAAATAGACCAATTGACACTTCAGATAATTCAGGACAATTTCAAGTATTCAGGAACATCAGGATTTAGAATCTCAACGAACTCAATTCTTCGGGAACTACGAGGGTTCCGAATCTACAGGATCATGGGGAATCGGGTGAGACCCGACGAGAGAACCTCTGGAATTCTGCGAACCGATCGTTACGACGATCGACGAGCTCGGTACCGCAGGACTTCACTCGCTGAAGAGACAACGTGTCGCTTCCTTCGTCCTTCCGACGAGACTCCTAATTCCTAGGGCGCGCGCGCAGGGGAATCGGCAGCGCGCCTGCCGGCAAAGGCGGCACACCAGGTGGCAAGTTCTCCTCTTCGGGTTCCTGCTCGTTGCGACCATCGGGCAACTCGCCCTCAGTTGGCGGCGGTGTCGTCGGGACGTCGCAGTCCTCCGTCGGTGGTACAACGCACCTCAGGGACCTCCTGTCGAACACCAGCATGGCCGGGCAGCGTTGCAGGCGCGGATAGCCGCCCTGACATTGCCAATATCGGTTGCACGACTTGCCGAGAGGTACGTTGCCGTTAGCGTCGTCGTTGCAGAGGGCTGCAAGCACACCGCGTCTTAGATCCATGATCAGTGACGAAGCTATCAGAATAACTTCGTTTAATATTCTCCTACTCTTTATCGTTGCTATGTACGTTTAGTTGTTCTTCGTCAGAGACCAAAGTGGATCGAAATGTTTGGGCGTTTTCAGTCGGAGATGACGTCAACGTAGAACCCTACATCCGTGTCCCGGTTATGATCGGTTTTTCCCGTCGAGAATCTCCGACGAATTTCGTATTGCTTCATTATGAGCTAAGAGATGTGATACCGATGACTCGGTAAAGTGATTCAGTGAAAGTCGCGGGCTCTCGTTCGCTCACTCGTTCAAACTGGATCTATCGATGATGGATTGACTCGAAATTTCGTTATGAAACGCGAACGAGACTTTTGTCGGCATTTGAAGAACGTGCCAGTCCCGAAGAATAGATCGGTTCACGTTACGAATATTATTATTATTTAGAATGATGACAAAGAAGGACATTTCTGAGTGCATAGATAATCTGAATCGTTACTGATACGCATCTCAATACGCTTGCTTTCGATTAAAAAAAAAATATCATTAAGAGATATTAAAAAAAAACACACATTTAATATTTGCATTCTTAGATAATTTCGACCTCCAATTAATTGGCTAAAAGTGGAAGTTTTTCTGCCTCGATTCTCTTCTCTTTTGTCCAAATATAATTCTTACGCGTTAGTCTTCTTTATATTCTAAATTCCAGTCTCGAAAAAGCAAGATACGATCTCGCAGCGACCGATACATCGGCCGACGTTCGGCATTCGAAAAGACGGTGCGGCGCGAATTAATAAATGCTTCATCCGACCCCGCGCGAGGAGGGGGAGAAAGGCGCGACGAGAATTCACTTCGAATGCTAATTAAGTGCCTCGCCCCTTTTTCCTCGGGGCACTGACTTCTGGAAGGATCGAGGAGCCGGGACGAGGAAACGCGTCTTGCGAACGCGTCCCGTTCGCCCACTTTCGAAAGTGAAAATGAACGGAACGGGTTGCGCGCCTCTCGAGAATTAAACTTGTCTAAAAACGCGCATTAGAGGCGCTTTGATTTAAATCCAATTTAAAGCCAAATACGATCAATTCCACCTGATCGTGCGAATGAATGAAAGAATACAGAATGTAGCCTCCGAATTCGAACGTTCCAAGTTCGCAACGAGAATTGTTCGTGGAAAACCAGTCTGGTATTTCGCGGGAATAAATCAAATATCACGGATGGGATATTAGTAAAATAGAAATTATTCCGAGAACTTGAAGAACTCGATCCACGATCTCAGACGCAAATCCATAATTCCATTGCACTTTCTACAAGAGAATTCTATCACGTTCCTGATAAAAACTCTTCGACGTCGCCAGTCAAGCCGTTGATCATACTTACGATGCTTCTGGCATCCTTCGACGTTTTCAGGCCAGTCGCAGGACCTCGCCCGCTCGTTGTAGAGCAAGCCGCCTATGCACAATTGCTCGGTGGCAGTGCCGTTCCAACAAGTCCAGTACCTGGTGCAGGAAGTCTCATGACCGAAGATACCGTAGAGCCAGTCGCAATGATCGGTCTGAATCGGCGGGTTCGCCTGGCGTTTACCGTCGCAGTAGTTCGCTCTCCAAGGATAATCGCAACCTTCGGTGACGCCACGATGTTTACCGGCAAACACGAGACCGTTCGGACAATCGAAGAGCTCAGGACGACCGTTCACGCATTCCCAGTAACGATCGCAATAGTCGATGTCACCTACCACTCGCGACTTCGTCTGGCAAGGATCCTCCTGCTGTTGCTTCTGGGTTAGAGAGCCTACGAGTGTAATACCGTCAATATCTCTGCGTTGTCTCGTTTGTATTACAACCGACTCTCATGTATTAATGACGTTTTTGTTAGTTAGTGATTGTCCTTGCATGATACCCGTTATGGTAGAGGAATTTGAATGCATAAGTTATTAATGCGTTCGATTCGATCCTTATCCTTCGGCTTTTGCATTTTAGATCGCGGTTGGAATTTTGTCGAGGAAATTGGAATTTCCGGGAGAATTAGGATAACTTCAAATGTTATTTTGGTGATGGTAATATATGCGAAATTGTTAAACAATTAATGTAAAATTACTTTTTTTCTCTCTCCTTCAGTAAATGTTATGTATTTGTTAGCAGACGTTAAATAAAGCGTATTATTATTGAGAGCATTGCAACAAGAGATAGTTGTTTGCATAGTTAGTTGAAGGAGATTTCTTGAGATCAAAAATAAAAATAGCAAAAGAAAAGTTGAATCAAATTAAAAGAATGCACGAACACCAGAATAAATATGAATGTACATTGCATCAGACGCATAATTAATTCTAAATAACTAAGGAGAATAATTAACATGTTTATGAAGAAATATTCCCTATATATTTTTTTGCTTTCTCGATGTTAATTAAGTTACAACAAACTGTCTGGAACCTCATTAACGAGCTTTCGATTTATTATGCATCATCTCTTTCCTTTTCCTCTCATTTCTGCCTAATGAGCACCGGTATTTCAAAATAAAGCGGCCGGAATTATGTCGACAACGATTCCACCTGTGGTATCGATGAAATTGCGTTCTCGTTGGAGGACAAGCGAGTGACTGGATGAATATCAAGGATATATATATACACACCTGCAATATCACCGATTCTATTCTGACCACGTGCAGTTTCGCTTAACGTCGCGATAAAATTCAGAATACGTCAGATCGGCTCGAAAATACTGTGACGGCGATGTACACAAAGCCACAACTCATGATTCAAGGATAACAACCGACTGATTAATACGAAATATATGGAATGTACATCCTTTTTCCGCATCACGATACGCACAAAATATGTGTGATATTTCTAAATGACGTCGTATAAATTTCTTTCGTCGATTTACTAGAGATTATACGCGGATCTTCTCAGAAGGACGTCGAAAGTGTAAAGTTAACATCGGATACCGATGATGTCGTCCTTGCGATTTAGAATACTTCTATCACAAGGATTTAGCGACGCATGTTCTTTCACTCCTTTTTTACTCCACGTGCGAGCGTGTTTTGCGAGTCGCTTTGGAATTCTAAAGCTGGATGTATACTGAGTGAACGTGCAAGGAATGAACAGTGAATGCAAACTTTCGTTATTACAATTTGGAAAATGTATATACCATATCGAATCTAAACAGAATGTTTCGGGTCGATTTGTTTATAAAGTGGTTCATCAAAAAAAAAATTAATCCGCGTTTACACTGCAAATCTAAGTGTGTTATATTAACTGAGGCTTTTGTTACACATTTCTCGCCGCTTTAAATCACGCTATTTAACATGCTTGAATGTTAATTCGTAATTTAATCCGATTAAACGTTTTAAATGACGTAACCTAAAATGGCAAGAAATATATGCAAACATTTTCAATCACAAACGTGTCATTTTTAAAGATTTATGTGTAAAAATAACACACTTGCAAATGCTATTTGCTGGATATATGGATAATTAATTCTCTCAATAAATCTTTCCGCTGTCTAAACAAATTTTCTGCTACCTAAACAAATTTTTTTTTTCTGCCACTATATCGATAAACACTTGTTTTTCAGGCAAAATTTGTTTTCTGCGTGTGGTCGGGCAATACAGTGGTACCGTAATGCTCGATCGTTCCGCTAATGATCTTGCGATCGGAGGCGCGCGTTTGTTGGAAAAGCAAATAGTAAAATAAGGTGGGAAGCCGGCGTGAGGCACGCTCCCAAGACAGTACGAGTGAAAGTGCCTAGCCTTGACTTACAACCTTCGGGGGGGCAGCTTTGCTCCACACCCTTGCTCCACCCCTCTTCTCTGAAACTGCGGGTCCCTTTGAGTGCACGAAAGATTCGATCTCGATTGGTTGGCCCGCCTAATATCCGTTCTTATCCGCTGATTCGACTCCATTTGGAATGTTTCTTCCATTCGACCGAAGCTATTATAAGCTCGATTTCATTTTATCTTGACTTATCCAACTTCGACTTTAGCCGTATTAAGAATGTCACAATATCAAAACGAAAAATGTAAACACATTGCTTTTCTTTTTATTTTTCCTTTTAATTTTGGTGATTGTCCTCTTGGGTGGTAAGCTGCGCTGTTATATTTGCGTGACATTAAATAATTTAATCCCAAGACGAGACGAAGCCTTGCCTTGGTTCAAATTCACTCTGTCTCTCACTCAAGATCCTCTCAAGATCACCTCGAAATTTAAAGATTGAAATTGAGGCGAAAATTAAGGAACCACGAAACGACCGATCACAATCTTCGGCAGATTCTGTCTCGTTCAAAACTCCGGGAGATGAGGTCGCGATCCTGATGCGATTTCGCACAGCACTCGCGATGGTACCACGCTGCGACGTTGGTAATCGTTTCACTACAATCGCAACGCTTACACGTGTATCATGCGCACGCTTTTGCGATGGTATTTAGACACGAAAAAAATTGCGCATTGTTGGCCAACTGGACCGAGCGGATGAAAGAAGAAAAACGAGGCACGATCGATCTCACGATACGGATAATCTCGTGGGGAAGCGAGCTTCGTTCGCTGTCTGAGAACGCTTGGAGATTGCGAGTTTCCAGCGGCGATTGCACATAGCACGGCCTTAATTATTAACGGGGATATATCGTAATAATATCTACGATCGATAAACACAGTACTCACGGTAACTTAACGTACCTGAGCAAATTAGTTTGCGCGGTAGTTCTGTACACAACTCCGAATCGTAATTTCCTCCAATTCTGAGCGCTCAAAGATACGAGCTTTTAAAAATTCAAATATGTCAAATCAAACTTTATTTTTTCTATCACTTATCAATTATCAAGGCTACGTTCTAAAATGTTCTTTTCGGGAAAGATTTTACTCGGCGGCCATTAAGAAAATGGAAGAAAGACCAATCGGAAACCCTCGTCAAGTTTTGAAACAGTCATCTAGAGCAAGATTTTCCTCGAGAAAAAAACGTCTTGGAATGCAGCCTGGATAAATGATCGGCAAAAGAAAATTCTCATAGCGGCGGTTCTCAAGGACTAACCAGGCCGTAATGTTGAATGATATCGTTTACCATCTTGGCTGAGATTATGCAAATGCCATCACGTCCGTAATAAGACCCTTCGATAAAACCATCAGGGTAAGGGCGATCTTGTGCTCGAAGAAGCGACGAGACAAATCCGATTAGTCACGACCGGCGCGATTAATCGATTTACACGCACGTTGCGTCGAGGCGGTCGTCACGGTGCCGCGGATAGGTGGAGACATCCCTGGAACGTCATCGTCGTCGGCGTTATGCAAGCGAGACGCTTAGTTAACGCTGCCGTGCCGGGTTACTTTCCCTTCCTTTACGACTCCTTGTAAAGAGTAAGTAGTTGCTCGCAATGGCTCGGTCGTTACTTCTGAAAGCCGCTGAAAGCGGGAGCGTCGGGTCTCTCCGATTTGTTCCTCCGCGAAATTCCGCCGCGAGGATTTCACGCGCGTTTACCAGCGCGCAAAACGCGAAGCCACCGACGATGGTCCGGGAAGTCTCTCCGTTTGAATTTACGACGATTTCTCGCGCCGGTGGTGGGAATTTTTTCACCGCGCGGGAATGGAGGTGTATTATCTATTGTTGGTACGGAAGATGAGTTTAACGCGATATTCGACGTTGTATATACATATATGTACATGTATATTCACAGGAATAAAAGTCCGAAATTTTCAATCTTGCTCTATCCTCCCAGTACCTTTCATTTCGACTCATGTTGAGGTCCAATTTGCCCAAGCTTATGAATACTTTACAATCTCATGCCGACCAGTTTATGTTTGTACAAGAGAAATTTTCCACGACGTCGCGTTGGCGGATCTGACGTAAAAAATGCATTTGCCTCTTTCGCAGATATTTCAAAACAGCGAGGCAAAAGTCACGAGTTTCTCCTTCTCTTTCTCTCACTCTTACCGGCCTTTTCCATGTTCTCTTCCGTAATAACACGGATAAATAAGAGGAACCTGCCTTCTCGGTCCTTCCTGAGACCGGTAGGACACGAGGAACGCGATAGGCGAAATCGAGGCCCCACCATAGCTACGAAGATCGAGTCTCGCCAAGTGCAACGTTCCCCGACAAATGTAAGTCGCAAGTCGCGCAAATAACAACAGCGTACACGAGATCCGCGCGCCGACTTCCCCTTTCCTTCCTGCTTTATCCCCTTTTATCTACCCTTTTTATCCTATCGATCGATCGGCAATTTCTTGAGCGGAACGCCGGTTTTTCTCGCCGTTACACCGCCGTTTCCGGAACGGACCGAAATGCAGCAACTCTGTTACTGAGCCGGGAAAGCCGGCGTGGGAAGCGGATAAATGCGGAACAAAACGAAAAATTAATGAATGAACTTTTCTCCAGGAAGATTACGTGCTAGACATCGCCGGTGGTTACCAGCCGGCAGTGCTTTACTCTAATCTGCATAATAAAATCAGACGTCGCCTCGTAGAAAGTAGAATCTCTTGCATAAGCTCGATACAGCTTGATTTATCGGTGATGCTATTTTTGAAAGATCAATACTACTATCGTTAGCCAACGTTGATCTATGATTTACGATCCACGAGTCGTAGTGTAAAAAGAAAAATAATGATAAAAAAGTATTTGCGGTACTAAATACTTGCGAGGCAGGAAAGGAAAGCTCTGTCGAAAAATTGAACGAAATTAGGGGACATAAAAAGTACGTGTAATAACAGAGAAAAGTAACTCCATATAAAGGAGAGAGAGAAATTTAAATCATGTACAAGATTTCACCAGCACATGTTACATGCTAACTCAAGCAATATCACTTTTCAATTGATGGAAGATAAGCCGCCTCTTAAAAGTACTTGAAGACTCAGGCTCGGAAATTTGACCGAATGAGACTCAAAGTATGCTTTCGCTACAAGGGATGTTCGGTAAATAATTATATGGCTATAAAAATCGAAAGACGAAGAGAGAGAGAGAGAGAGAGAGAGGAGAGAGAAAGAGAGAGAGAGAGAGAGAGAGAGAGAGTGAATTGCAGGCCGAGCTACTTTCATATTTTCACTCAAGGCACATGGGAGAAAGTTCTCAAGATGTGTGAAACCCGGTGAATGGCCGTCATTGTTCTTACGAAGATGCGTGTAATAATAATTACGAAGCAGGACACACACGCTGCTTACGGATCTTGCACTTTGGATGTCGCGAGGATTGTGCAACAAAAATTGTAATCGAGCAGACACTTCATTATCTAACTCAACGATGCAATTTTCTCATTTTTCTGTAACCATTCGATTTTATCGCACAAAATCAGCTGATATGTGTTAACTTTTGCCCGACCATATACTGCATTAATTAATTAAAATTAAACAAATTCATTAATTCATTAATTCTCTAAATATTAAATTATTTTGTCAATGCAATTCGTATATTTTTATATTGTCCACACACACAGCAACAATATAAGAAGGCAGAACATAATTTTGATTATTTTATTAATTATATTATTTATATTAATTATATGCATATAAAATTTCCAAGAAGAAATAATTTGGTGGAAATCTTAAAATATCGAAGAAAGGCGAAAATGTCGATGAATGACGGCGCCCGTCATTGACAGATAATAGATACCGTTAGAATGAAACGGTAATCCGTCACGACACGAGTCATGTGAGAAAATGAAGTGGGTCGGTTCTCATGAATCATCGTCGCGAAGGACACGAGAGGATCGCTTTAATCGGTGCGTCCGTTAGGATTCGCGAGGAAAGTAGAACGGTCCGCGCTTTTTCAGTTTCACTGCGGAACGACGGCCGCATGAAAATTTCACCGTTTTCATGCTCACACTTCGCTTACAACTCGGATTGGTTTTATTGAACGACTCTTATTATTTATAGATAGCTATACACACACCGATCTCGAAAGTGAAAGCTTAATAATCGTTAGAACGCATTAAAATCATGGCGGTCCGGTTTCTAGAAATACCTAGATATATTTCCGATATTTCCACTATTTCAATTCTTCAATTAATAATATCAATAAATTTGTTAGAAGGAAGAAGCAATTATTAATTGTATTAATTTCTTGTCATCGGCTGAATTCGCGAAACATTAATAACTCTCATTTCATTCTTTCTACATAAAAATTAAGTGATCATATGTATTAGACAATTATTTGATCTTTTTATTAAAATGTTTGAGACTTTGTTAGTGCGTTAAAGAAACACATAAACTCACTATTCACTTTAAAAATAGAAGAACAAAAAATTTTATTAAACGACTGTATAGATTACAACAGCTATTTATCGAGATTTATCGAGAATGTAATTACTAATTAATATTGTTATTGCACGTAAAACTTTTCATGTTGTCAACAAAAAGAAAAAAGTTTCAAAAAATAATCAAGTTTCACTCCTATTAAAAGAGAAAACCTTGACATCAAATCTAAGTAGCGTTAAAGTGTTATTATTAATTTCTGTAGCCGCACATTCACGAGTTAAGGCTGACGAGTGAGATGATTAATCCTTAAGAATCCAAGCACATAACTCCAAGCAGAGGAGGCACAGCCTAGGAATAACCGAAGCTGAAGAATGATAAGAAGAAGAAGCAGAAGAGGCGGAAGAACTCACCCTGCGCAGCCAAGAGCACTAGGACGAGTGGAAGGATCTGCTGCAACATCCTGAGAAGGCAGTACGGCGGATTAATCTCGAAATGTTAATCCCTAGTCGGCGAAATATTCCGAATGCTTGGAATATATTCGAAAAATATTTCTCTTTCTCTCTCTCTCTCTCTCTCTCTGTCTTTCTTTCCCTCTCTCTGCCTTTCTCTCCTTTTTTCTTTCTCTCCCTTTCTCTCTCTTTCTTTCTCTTCCTCTCTGTGTTTCTGTCTGTCGTGTCGAGTGTCGTGGCAGCCGAGGAAGCTCGGCTGATGAGTTTTCGTGTCGAGACTGGTCACTGGGAGAGGCGTTTGGTTGGTGTCTTATATGAACTCCCCACTCTTCCTCGCTTCTGGCCGATCTCTGGCTGCATAGGAAGGTTCTACCAGGAGAACACACCTGGTTTCTTCTATCGGTAATCGTGGTTCTAGCTGATACTCGCCGGTCGGCCGATGATATTGTTGATGAACATAACCACTGGAAAAAATCTTTTTACGTGCCTCGTGGATAGGGTTATTATATCGGCGGCTTCTTCTTCCTCCTTTTATCTCTTTTTTTCAACATTTACTCAATATTCCTCTTTTGCTTCTTCTTCTCTCAATGTTAGTAACTTAGTTTACTAACGACATGAAATAACACCATTGACTTTTTATCTTGATAAATAGGTTTTCCATTAAGATGAAAAGTTTACGTTTCGTTTACATTCCGTCGAATTTATTACGCGAATTAACCACATATTATGAATCGATCGGTAGTGCATATTCGGAAACCCATCTAATTACCAATTTAGATATTAATTTCCCGTAGACAGAGCAACATTTCCAGGTTCAGCGAGGCAGGACTAATTAATTAATTACTAATCCCTTTGAGACTTCAGCTTGTAATGCGGACAAATGCGGAGAGTGCTTTCGTAATTGAAAAAACAGGTATATTCTGCCACACGGAGGCCACCAAAGAGGAGAAGTGAAATTCTACTGTATGGGAAACGAGATCATCGCGGAGAGCGGGCACAATTTTTGCCCGCTAATTAGAAAGATGATTCAGTAAAAATTCCATTGATACATAGGAGAGAAAATTCATTCTGAGGAATGTACCATCCCCTCTCTTAAAATGTGTGAACAAAATAAAATACATAATTATAATTAAAATACATGATTAATTATAGTCTATTTGTATGTTACGGACGAAAGTAAAATAAATAAATAATTATTTGAAATAAAGAGAACACAAGGGAAATCGTGAGACAATTCAGCTGAGACAACTTGGATGCTTCATTTTAATATGAGATAAAATAATCGAGAAGGTTAAACGACTTTTATTATCACAATATCGCGCAAGTCCGTTTAGTTCATGTAGAAGCACGTGATGCTCCATATCCTTTCCGTTATCCTGGAGCGCCACCGTTAAACGTTTATTTCGCGTGTATGAGCGGCCTCGAGACGAGGCCTTCACGGTTTCTTTTCCCCCCGACTGTGCAACCAGCTTCACGCGATGAGACGGTGAAAATAAAGGTGAAACACACTCGATGGTCGCACGAGATGCCTACTTCTCGTTCGCCAGCTGCGTGCGGAATAACGATACGTGTCATGGTAATATATGACAATAATATAATAATAACAAACGGTATCGTCTCGATCGTCGAGGAACGTCGCGAAGGAGAAACGAGATCTTTAATTTCAGAATATAATTCACTGTATATTCACAATATATTTCACTATGCTATTTACTTTGACTTCTCATTGTTCATCATATTTTCAATGTTCATAATATTTGATTTCTAGGACACTTTGTACAAGGAGAAGCATCGGGAGAGAAAATAAATAAATAATTAAATTGATCCCCTCTTTGATGATGATATACAAATTTACTCATTTAGTTTTAGCTATTTCTAGATGCAACGCACGTCTTACATCTTATTAATTTAAATTTGGTTGGAATATTTATGTAAATCTTAAAGTCATGCAAACCTGCACAAGATATCCCGCGCATGTCGATCACATTTTATTGTTGCGTGTGTGTCAACAGCAATTGATAATTTCAAAATTAATAAGCGCATTAAACATGATCGTTTCTTTTTCGATTCAAACATCGCTTTATTCCGAGCACAAAATCGAGACGGAGAAGCATCGTCGAAATTAAAAATATTCTTTTCTTAAACTATCACTCTAATTAAATATTCTTCTAATTTGAAATATAGTTGCTGATTTAAGTAAACGCTGATACACGTCGAGGACAATAAAGCACATTTCTTAGATGCTTCGGCGAGATTGAAATGAAAATGTTGCATTAAATACGAACATATATTTCCCGGAAGGACGAAGAGCGCTCGAGGCTCCTGGCATAATCCTTCAAGGATTTTCACCTGGTCTTCTTATGCAAGTGAAGGCAGGAAGGGAGGACAAAAACGGGCGAATGAATGGTCGGTCGGCGTGCTGGATGAAATTATCGCGATGCTCGGTGGGAATGGTCACAAGAGGAAACGAGACACATAAGAATGAAACAATAGTACTCAGTTTCGAAAGAATCTCGCAATCCCATCCTCGATTTACAGAGGAGGTCGATCGTTAACCTATCATATTAATCGTGATCAGGAACGCAATCGCATGAATTTTTAGGTATATTAAAGAAGCAGATCAAATTACATTATACGGAGATAAATTAAAAGAAAATAAATATAACAATAATAAATAATTAATTTCTATCGAGTGTTTTCATTTGATCTAAATTTGAGGTTTGATTGGGCCGTTATTCGAAATTTGAAAAATTTAAATTGACATAGAGATTTTTCTAGAATTTTAGAATTTAGACAGACATTTAAATTAGATATGCTCCCAATATAATTTACAAGATTTTTATATCTATAAAAGACTGCAAGTAGGCGCCTAAGCGATGGCAAGCCGAGTTGCACTAGTGCGAAACTGGTTATATCTCGCTAGGATCTTCACTTGACTTTAGCAGGATAATCATGTAAAACAAAGTTTTAATATACCGTACCATGTAATATATATTTGATTAAATTTACATAAAACTCTTAAATTTCAATTGATATCTTTCAATTAAATCAAATTCTGATTAAATTTACAAAAAAAGTCAGCGAAAAGATTAATTATTCTACTCTATTATTCATATAAATTCATATTAGAAGCTTTCGCACTACATATTAATTTTTCTGCAATTAAATCTTCGTAATAATATCTACAATTAAAATTTCGGACACCCTGTGCCCTGCATCGGTGTTGCAAGGATTAAAACTATCTTGTTGAAAATTACGAGCATACCTGTCACCATGCGGAATTACGAAACTCGCGCCGCGTAACGCGCTAAAGTTACGGTCGCGCATGTAGTCGTGTAAAATGTTGAGATAGATAAGTGGACCCCGACGAGAAAATAATTAATGAGGAAATGGCCCGTGCTTTCTAATATCCTTAACTGAGGCGCGGTCTTTCGTCGGCATAACGCCCAATGACATACCCACGATTACGTAAATCTAGTAAAAAGTCATGAGAAAATTACTTTCCGGAAAATTACACGTCACCTCCATCCATCAATCTCACGTTCGTAAAATTAATGGAAATTATATCCAACGTTTTAACAAAATAAGGACTTCATCATTATCATAATATCGTGGTCGGTAGGTAACATTATTCAACAAGGTGAGTACTTTCTAAAATTTTCCGCAACATTCTTCGATAACCAGACATATTATGGAAAAATTTATCTTTTTAGTGGTATTACTATATATTACAAAAAATTTGTAATATCAAGGAACATCTCTATTTATGACTAAAAAATTATCTTATTAAACGTATAGTCGCGTAAAATCACGTCAAAGAGAGCTGAACGCATCACGATATCGTCCGTAATTATCACGTCCCAACGATTAAGGAAATCCCGTCATAAATTTTATTAGGAAGTTATCGCTACTGGGAAGACCGTCGAACCTAAATAGGCCAGACTTGAGAGCCTCTGAGAGGGTCCCGAAGAAGGTGTAGCGAGCCTGTGGGCCGCTATGACCCGGAGAGCAAGGACCTCTGGTCCTTGACGCGTTCGAGTCCACCGCGTTCTTCTCCCCTCTTATTTTCTCCCGTTGTGCATCATCCTTTTTTACCGGACTCTCTCCGTGGCTGGTCTCACCCCGCTCGTCCCCCGAGTCCTTTTTAATTGTTTTATCGTCGTCCCATCTCTCTCCCTAACCACTTCGCTTTTTTCTTCCAAAGCAGTCGCTTCTCCGAAATGTACTCGCTTCATTAGAACGACTTAGCGAACAAACGCCCGCGGATATCCCCTATCGAGAATTACGCCGGATATCTCTTGTGTAACTTCTCGTGAATATACATATGCACTACACCATCGACAGTTACGGAACACGTTTTCTTGAAAAACGCATATGATCTATGACATATTGGTTCATGAAAAATTAATTGAAGAATATCTTTAACTAAAGTTATTCGTGCTGCACGCGAAAAGGGAATAAACTAAGGCCTAATTTCTAAAAAGATAGGATTAAAAAAATTAATTTTACAGTTATGTTCGAAACAATATACACAGTGTAGAAATGGCAGATTTTGGAGCCACCTTATATATCTTGTATAAAAATATACAAGCGTCATGCGTGAATTTATCGTTCAAATCCCACCTACGGACAATATTTATCGCCGCTTCTGAAAACCGTTGTTGCTTTTTGATCGCGCGTGTTATTTATGCAAATTCAGCCCTCCCCCTGCCTCGGGCCCCTCGAATTTTGACGTCATTGTGCCCCGACATTATTCATGAGAAACTGGTCGCTAATTGGGGGAAAGAATGAACGGTCTTTCCAGGTTGCACGCATTTTTCTCTCATTTCGCTCCCCCAAAAGCGTTCCTTTTAACGCGCTCAGCTGCTGCTCTTCGGTTTTAGTCTGCTCGCTTAAATAAATTTAATTAAATAACATTCACTTATCGATAAGGGCAAAATAAAGACAAAGTAAAAACGTAACACAATTAGCGGTAATGCGCGTCCCAAGTATCTCTACGCGGAATATATAAAAAGGGTTGTTAATTGACCACTTCTGATATGAGAAAAATTAAATGCTCTGAAATACATAATCATCGATATGTCATCTTATTTAAACCGCCAAATTGGTTTCCCATTATCTCGAATAAATTTATTCAAGATAAATTGCATTACCAGTTATCACTATCGAGAGAAAAAATTTCGCTTGGCAATTCAGTTCCGAAGCTCGCCCATGCGATTTAAAAAGAAACGTACGATCGCGCATAATTTTTCCTCGTTATCCGAATGACCATAAAGATTTGCACGCGAAAAGCAATTTGGCGTAGTTAATCGCGAGAATCCGTCCGACATGCGTTTCACTTAAGGCGATAGCGGCAGCTTTAATAAGTATCAAGCGTTTTCGACGATTAAGTGCATTAAGTGCTCGCAGCCCTCCGCGGTTTGCTCTATCATCGCGTGCTGAATTATGAAGAAAACGTAAGAGTAGTAACAGACCACCTACGTCAGGCCGCGGCTCTTGCGGGCGTACTTCAGGCCGCAACCGCGCGCACTCGGAATGAATTCGAATGAGCATTGCGGTATCAAGGCGCGACGCCAGCATTTTTAACGTCACTTCAGATGGTTCCTGCTTTTTAACACAACATTCGGCGTTTCCCAAACCTGTTCCTCGAGTTGCATTGCGCAAGCGAAGCGCGCATACGAACCGGACGAAGGGTCGCTTCGATTCAACGTTTGAAGCCGTGAAGGAGAACATCGCGCATAATAAAACTTCCAAAAGGGGACTGTTGCACTTTCGGTTCTATCAAGAATCCGGGAAGTATCTTTTAAAATAGACACTGAGACTAGAAATTGTGCGAAACACGCGTTTCAAATTACCGACGCGAAGCGAACTGACGGGAGGGGGAGAGATCTCTCGTGTCTCCTTCGATGCTTTATCTGAATTGCGCGAATTTATCTCGAATCGTACGTAATCTTTATCGATACTTGGGCGAATTTACGCGAAGAAAGCCTCGGCGAGATCTCCACGTATGTTAAGCGCCTGTTTGAGACCAAGGTATCGCCCTCGTATTCGAACTTAAGTGGCGTGCCGTGTAAGGGCACTTTGGATTTATTGTACGATTTAACATTCGATTCAGCATCGCGCACGAAAAACACTGTTACGTTATCGACAGTGTCACTCAGCGGAAGTAAAAATAACTACCAGGCTCACTGAGCCCCTTAGTCACTTTGTAATACAGAATAATAGCGTGATTATGATACGAAATATCGTTCGATATAATAAATATCGTTCGTATAAATTCTAAAAAACAAAAGTTTCTCAATTATATTCAGTTAAATTTATCAACGTTAGTCGCGAGCTGAAATTAATTAAAATTAACTCGATCGAGAATTATGCTCGAATCAGAGTGGGCATTTGATCAGAACGCAAAGTGCGAGTGCTTTAATGCAATTTGTATGTAATTCATCGTTCCTCATCCGTTACATTTCAACGGTCTAGTTTGGGGTTAACTTTTTTTCTCGTTGCACCGTCTTGTTTCTCATTCCTGCCGACATTCCATCTTAGATCCCCCTGCAGCCTCGGTCCGTGTTCTAAAGTCCGAACGAGCCGAGAAAACAAAGACGAGGGCCAGACGCGCGAGGGCGATGAAGACAACGACGGTGAAGCCGAGGTAACCGCTTCGCCAGTCGCGCGATGTAAATATCGGCCGCCGGGATTAGACAGGGAATTATCCCGGGTGTCATCTCGGTGACTTTGATCGCGGGATCGTATGTCATCGTGTCGGCGGGCGCGAGCATCGTGAGAATGCCCATTAAAATCGTTAACGCCCTGTCAGTTTCAATCTTGGCGATGTCGAGCCTCGCGCAAAAATAAATCAATATTCAGTTTAGAGATAAATAAAATAGACGAATTAATATACTAATGGAATCGCCAGTCCCATATACAAGCGACACGATTAAGATTCCATTCGCATTAAGCGAGGTCAAGGAAAATCAGATTAACGTCCGGCGCGAAACACTTTTTTCGTATCTTTCAAAAAAATCTATACGCACGACAAAAAGAGACGCGATTACGCGAGTCCTCGGACATTTCGCAGGATATGTTGCTCGACACGCGCGCGCGAGCGCGTTGAAGAACGCGATGGCGAGGTCATGCGTGACTCAGGATTACCCGCGAGATTCGGCGGGGCCGAAAACTCGGCGGAATCCAAGATTACGTGGTCGCGACCGTCTCTTCCTACTCGTCCTGCTCCTTTTCCTTCCTTTTACGTTCGGATTGAGCTTGGATTCTTCCTTATTGCCGAGACCGCCGAATTTCTTATCCAGGCGGATAATAAAAAGGACGATGAGCCCTGTGGAGCCTCCTACAGACCGGAGGCGACGCACAGGATCTGCACAGGACCCGCGGTGTCGAGGGACACTTTCGGTAACGAGTGCGTAACGAGTCCCCTCGAGAGTGCGTCCACCTTTGCATACCGATGTGTGTCCTCCCCGCTCCCCCCGGAATCTCGCAAGTGGGGAATTTTTTCCTCTGCCGCGACGCAGGATGCTGCGCCGGCCGCGGGAAGCCCCCGTAGACGCGCGAGCCAGATGAAAGTCATGGGACAACGGCTAATGAAATTCGCGGGCGCGCGTCATCGTTTCCCGGCTTGATAGATCCTCGACAGATCTCGCTGTTGGCCTTTTGGAATTTAATGCTCTATCGTTATTTTCAGGGATTTGACAAGAATGCAACGTAGGAGGGAAACTGATGGCAAGGTGTAAGAGAAACGTAGGACGAGTCTGGACGAATGTTACAGTTTAACAATAAATATTAATATTACGATTAAGATCAATTTTGTATATATGCGTGAGATTTTAAAATTTTATACTATACACGCAAGATAAAATTGATTGTAGACAACGAAGAGGCTATTCAAAAGGTTGCAAAACTCTCGTTTCCGTCTTCAATGAGAAAAATTGACATCGAGAGGCTCCGAAACCACCAATGAGACCTCCCATTTCGCGCAGTGCTACTCACGCTCTAATGATCTTTCCTCACTTTCCAAGAAGCAAGACGAATAACAAGCAATCACGGTCGGCACTAAAGGCCGTCTTTAAAGCCTGCCAAGTCTGCCGGGACAATACGCCTCAGATGAAGGTTTTAAGACTTCGGTGGAGTCGTTGGAACGCATGCGTAAAGAATTAAAAAACCAACCCTAAAGGGTCAGGGTCCTAAATTCACCCGGTAACAATATCCAGCGCCTAAAACGAACGACCAGCGAAAAACAGTCCTCCGCTCGCCGGCAGGACGGAACGATCGTCGCGAGCGCGCGTGCATCCTTCGGGTGCATCCTAAATCCCGTCCAATGAGGAGTCCTCGGACGAGAGATAGAGGGGAGGAGGATACGAGAGGGAAACAAGGGGGAGGGAACGAGTCGTTGCGGGAACGCGGCGAGCACTTCCTGCGCAAGAAGAGGGTCCTACGCGAATCGTCGAGTAATTGAGGTCCTGTGGTCCCTACGAGACCGCGGGTCTGGTGGGGGTTGCCCTATGTAAAGCCCTGAAAGCGACCAGGTCCAGCTCATCCAGCATCAGGACACCGCGCGTCAGGACTCGCGCCACCTCGGCGTCGATTGTCACGATTCGGATCACGCGAGCAAGACACCCTTGGGAACTTAGCTTTCGTGGAGCATCCTTCGTCCTAGTGGAGGGCGCCGACAGCCCTCGGGTTTATCGTCGGTGGTAAAGAGAAAGGCGAGGAGGAGATCGAGGAGGAAGAGAAAGACGAAAAGAAGGACGAGAAGGATATATCGAGAGGAAGATGAGGGTGAAAGTGTTGCTCGTCCTTACGGTCCTTGCTGCAGGATCCGTTAATGCGGCCAGGAGGAGAGTTAGGTCCACGACGGCGGTGACCACGATGACGACGACGACACCAACGTCGTTCATCGGCAGGCAGCTCGGTTTCGTCGGACAGCCCGAAGGTCAGTGTCAATATCTTCAGCATCGGGGGTTTCGAGCTATCGCGAGATGCTGCCACGTGATTCGTAACGCAGGGGGTACCAAGTGCTACGTGGGTTTTCTTACGGCACGGGAAACGCGACAATAATATGAAAGAATCCGAGAGCCTTCGATTGTCTGATTTGCCTCTCCTTCAAACTATACTGTTATTTCTATTTTTTAATAATTAAGAGTAATATAAAAATATTAAAAAATAATTACGAGGTATATTCAATGATAAAGGACGATGAATAAAATGGACCGATCTTAACCCCTGGAGCGGCAAGTAAAAACGGTATGCTTCTTTGTGATTTTTGAGTTGCTAAACCTGTTTCTGGCCATTAGAGAATGTTAATTTGTCGAGAAAGTATTGGAGTCAGCATATGAAACTATTAAATATCTAATATCTCAAATCGTTATTGTTGAGCTTTACGAACGTATCCATTCGTGTTTTGCTGCTAACAAAACTTGATGAGCTAATAGCCTACGTCTGTGCATTCTATACAATACAAAAGCACGAAAAAAACATACCCGCCTACTTGCCACTTCGGGGGCCAAAATCGATTCCATCTGTCCCCCCTTTCCACCTGACGTTCTTTCAAATATCAATTAGCGAGCGAACGACCAACAAAATTTACACGGAAACGACACGTCACCGTCATCGGCGATGACGAAGACGTCGCGACTAGAAGACCTAAAATCGAATTTCAGAAGGTGAGACTCTCTGGGACAACTACGACATTCAGAAATTGGACAGCCGTGCCGAAACATGGAAGAATTCGAGCAACGCGTCGGAGAAGCACGACGAGGCCGTTTTTAATACCGGCAGACAATACCCTGGCTTTCCGGGGAATCCGGGGGAGACGAATGAACTACCTAGTCCCATCTCGCCGCAACCTGTGCCGCCTCCGCAGCATCCCGCACCAGGTTGTTTAGGCCTGCGGGGCCAGTACCCGAGCCCGAAGAGCTGCGCCAACTACCTCAACTGTTGGGACGACGTTGTAATAGAGCAGACCTGTCCGAACGGGCTGCTCTTCAACGACGTTACCAACGTCTGCGACTTCGACTACAACGTCAACTGCGGCAACCGGCCTCCCGCCACGCCGAGTGAGTGATCGATAATCGCACGTCGAATCGCCCGTTCACGGCCCGTAGGCAATCGCAACGATTGCCTCCTAATCGCGACTTCATCTGTTAGATCAGTGGTTCTCACAGCAAGGTTCTCCCGGGGATGAGTGTAACCTAAGATAAGAGACACATAGGGTTGCACAGAAAAAAAGTGCTAGATTCGAGTAGATAATTACTCCAATATTCCTCTACAAATTTTTACTTGGATCAAGTAATATTTTTTTTTCACATATAAACATTTAAAGATTAAGTATACACTGTCGCGAAATCGTGATAATGGAAGTAAAAATCCCATCACTCGACAGAACCGCCGTTGCCGCCGGGGTCGAAGCTGTGCCCGGACCCGAACGGCCGCTACAGGAGCTCGACGAACTGTTCAGAATTCTACGTGTGTCTCGCAGGCAGACCCATCAAGTTCAGCTGTCCTCGCGGTCTGGTCTATAATGACGTAAGGATCCGTTCCAAAAAACACAACTCAAACGTTTGCGGAATTTTAAGTTGCAGAATGACGCGCCACGTCTCTCGTCATTTTTAATCTTTCCTGACAGTCATGCAGAAAATATGACAGTGAGAATTTAACTAAAGCGAAGACAAATCGGATTTTCGACATTTATATCTTTGCAATCGTTTTGATACACATCATGAAATATTTCAGATACTTGAAACAAGTATGTCGAAAATATCTCACTAATGCATATCAAACACGAAAGAAAAAATCGCATATTAATCTTCGCGTCTAATTCAACGGAACTCGATGTGTAATTATTGACTCTTTTAGGTGCTGAACGTATGCGACTACCCATACAACGTGGACTGCAAAGGCACTGCCACGCCGAAACCGCAGTCGCCGACTCAAACACCTCCGCAAACACCTTCACACCCGTCTCCTACGTATCCATCTCCTAAGCCACCTACTTATCCTTCTCCTCAACCGCCCATCTATCCTTCACAACCACCGACCTATCCTCCGCAATCACCGACCTATCCTCCGCAACCACCGACCTATCAACCGCAGCCGTACCCACCACCGCCGCCGTCCTATCCAGGAAATCCCTGGCTGAGTAAGGTTGAGCCGGATCCCTGGAATCAACGGCCGCCCGCATCTCAGATAGAGATCGACAAGGAACGGCTCCAACAAGAAGAATTGAATTTCTCTAACGGTCAACCGCTCGGCAATCAGCCGCTGGACGTGACGGAAACGTCGAGTCTGGCGAACCCCTGGAATCTCCTCCAAGTGGTACCACCCGAGATGATGAATGCTCCGTGTAAAGATGGGGACGTGCACAGACTCAACGAGGCTTGCACCAATATGGTGGTTTGTAGAAATGAGAGACCTCAGATAGTGAGATGTTTGTCGGGCTTCTCGTATGACAAACCCTCGGATTCCTGCAGACCCTTCAGCGTTGCCAAATGGTAAGGTTCACAATTCTTTTTTTTTCTTTTATGTACGTTTCAATCTTAATTCTTTCAGTATGATAATAATAATATAATTTATATATTTTATACATCGAGTAGACACACAACGATCAAAACTCACGAGAAATACTTTTGTTTTCTGTTTTAGTTAATTGATGAGCTCTTTAGAAACCACGCTTTTTACTAAGCACACACATCGAACCGACTTCAATAAAGTAACTATTGCTATGCTATGACACCTCTATCAATAAATCTTAATATCATTCAATTAAAATACGAAGCAATGGATAAACTACCAATAGAACGCGAATCTAAGGACAACTTGCTGTGGGAGACAGCGATCAAAGGGTTATTTAGGTTAATAAAATTATAAAGTTAAATGAATAGATACCATAAATGATATTTGGTATTTTCTTTTTGTAGTTTTCGCACTTGCTCATTAATGTATTATTCAAGAAACGAACAAAGCGGAGCTTTTGATTGGAACTAATCGAAGCTGTAAATAAATAAACTAAAACTCCCCAGTCTGTCCTATTTTTTAATATTCCAGTTCCTTTAAGTTAATTTTTTGATAAGTGTAAAGATATAAATTATAAAATCTAAAACTGAATATAAAATTGAGTTTACTCGAGAGTTTCACGCCGGAAGAAAAAAATCGCATTTATGGGAAGTTCCCATCGATGGTAAACGAAGGAATCACACGATCTAGAAGCTTTATATCGAAGTCACGAGATCGCAGCACGCGCTCTCTACGTTCGCCGGGTTCTCCAAGGAGTAAGGAGAGTGGGAGCCGAAGAAGATGGCGAGTGGAAAGAGAAGGTCGGAGGAGAATCGGCTGTAGTGATTGCAGAAGATCACTGTGGGGAATTGGAGCGTGGTCGATGTAGAGAAATGTGTCGTCACGGAATACATCTCCAGCACGCGTTGGCACCGCGGCGTCGAGACAGCCAACGACTCGATTTATCGTACACGTAATTGGAACACGATGTTTTTATGCGCTTCTAGAGAGCGTATACTTCCACGAGCCTCTGCCAATTTCTTCAGACACGAGACTCTCGTTTCTCCGCCAAGTAATCCTATCGCGTCGTTTAGAGGACTTATTGGATCGTAACTGTGCGCTTAACGCCACGTAGTTTGTCCTAATTTTCACGCCTTCGTAAGACCAAATCGCGATAAATTTCCCTCTGAAATATTTTCAAATCGGACTTTCGAAAACTCGATACATCAAACTGATCGATACTTTGATTGCAACGTGCATTCTAACACTGAGGATTTTAAGCCCGGAGACTTCAATGCATGGTGAAACGCATATTTGAAGTATACTAAATTATGAATACAGACACTAAATCGTTGCAAATCCTGCCGATACCACCATTTAATTCTTTAATTATTGATAGCGCATTAATAATAAGCGAGGTGACATTTATCGCAAAATATATTATGAATTTCTCTTACTCTCCCTTTCGATTTCACGTTCGAAGATGCATTGTCGAAAAAGAAGAGATGTCACCAACGGGGGAACAAATCTAACAGCAACTTTTTCTTTGCAATCGGAATTTCGCGCTTGGTCGCGCATACGGAGAAGAAATCGATGTCGCAAAATGCGGTTCCAAGGAGAAAAAGCAAGAAAAATAAAAAGACAGAAAAGTTTTCCGTAAATCAAAATATCTTTTAAATATGGATATGTATATATCGCACGTTTAATTAGTTTAATTAGTAAAGCCTGTGCACCGAGGTGGTGAATACTATGTAACAATTATATAAACAAATGACTATATAATCGTGCTATAATATTATATAATCGCGTCGCAGTGGTGCTGTAATATAATGGTCATATAACAATCCTGAGGTTGCGTATCAATCACATAAATCACATAAATATGTAAATAGCAGCTTCGGGAAATTTCACAGGAAATATTTACGTTTTTCGAAGTAGAAAAAATTATAAAATATAAACTATAAATTACAAATTCCACGATCTTCTCCTCAAGATTTTTTACAAGTTGGCAAAGACAGTCGGAATAACTGTATTTATATATTTCGTAAATAATAAATTAGGAGTAATTCTTAAGATAACCATTCATATTTTGTAATATATGGTCCGAATAAATATATTATCTTGTCCTTTAACGAAGAATGCTTCTATCAAACCGGATATTTTACCGAATAGAGAGAGAGAGAGAGAGAGAGAGAGAATTCGAGAAATCGTTTAGAAAGGGACAAAGTATCTCGAAAGCGACCAGGGAGACGCCTCGTCGTACGTTTCACTTGAACGGTGGCGCAAAACTTGAAAATTACGTAATAATACGCGACGTTACGTCGTATATGAAGCGGCAAAAGGTCCCGGTGAAATGCGAAAAGTGATCGGAGAGGGAAGTCATCGAATATGCGGCGAACGAACGACAGGAACGCGTCGAAAACATTCCAGTTTCGAAAGAAAAATCTTACATGACGGTAGAAGTATTACCATATCTCGGAACCGTATCTTTTTAGAATAGCTCCCTAGAATAGCGAAAACGATTATCGTCAATTTCCTGAAGGCATAAGAAGGATGAAGCTAGAGCATAGGACTCTATTTTCGTAGCTACATGTATCTATTTACTTTAAAATATATATTTATAGCTAAAATAGAGTCCTAAATAGTTATATATATTTATTCAAATACTTCTCGCTATGTTACTATGACGAAATGTTTGTTTTTATTTTTTAATATATTTGAGGCATCTTTTCGATTTTAATGAGAATAGACCGAATAGTCCATTAAGATAGTTCTATCATTGTTCAATTCGTAGTGCCTGTCTATTCTATATTAAGTTTTAAATGAAGATATCGCGAGGGCACTGCAAGATTGGATTCGTCCCTGAATGGAACAGTGACGGCGAAGAGATATCACTTTCCCGCTGCTCTCTTGCCGCTTTCTTACTGCCACACCCGGCCATCGTGTTTCTGCGAGAGATCGAGGGAACGCGATGTCAAGCATGATGGATGCAAAGCAAACGGTACGAAGTATGATTACTTAGGTGTGTTGCATCCGTTTCTGACTTCGCCACTGGTGATGACTTTATCGACTTGATTTGATAATACACGACGACCACAATTGATATTGATCAATCATTCCGATTTTTTTCTTATGATCGAATAGACAAGAATGAGATAATCACGAAAAGCACCCGCGGAGACTCGCGAAATATTCGCAATAACGATTCGGAGACGGAAGGGTCAGGGGGAAAGAGAGAAAGATAATCACGTAATTCCCGTATTACGGAAGGCTCGCCGGGTCGAGAAAGGTAAGTATTCGCGAGTTGGCCGCGCGACTACGGCCTCGACCTTTCCGGAAAAGCTTGGAAATTGCAGTCAACGAGCCCTGCGATTAAGCACGCGTGAAAGATCAACGATGGACGCGCACTCCATGAGCTATTCTACGTGCAACGTAACGCGTATCAATCTCGAATCGCAGTGTATATATCTTTACGTATTTCTCTCTCATTCAGAATAACATAACGATTAGAAACGCACACCTTCAAAGATAGTTCCACAAGGAAAATTATTCTAAAGACGTTAAAATTTATTGCGCCCATATAAGTAGACTTTACGTAATTAATTAAGACTTGCGATTATAAATGGAAGCCAATTGATAGGAATTTAGTACGCTGCGAGGGCGGAGACTAATTGATCCACCGGAAAATCAACGTGCTTACGAAATTTCCTTCGCGAAGAATCGCCTTTCTCTCGCCTTAATGATGCCCAAAGGACAATGTCCTTTCTACGGCTGATGCAAAGCAACGCATCGTTAAATGTTAACGTCGGACGTCTTGCGATATTTTCTATAGCACAAACAAATTCACAGTCAGGCTTTATTGCTCATTCCGATCAACTTAATTTTCAATTCGTGATTATCAATTTGTGATTTCGAAAAATATGTTTTACCCATTTAGAAAAAATATATCAAGTTATAGTTTATATTTTTTCTTTATTTTTCAAGAACTAAGTCGATCCGGCGATTTTAGTCGGAAAGGTCTCGGCAACCTTTCCACTCGGATTTTCGAGCCAATATCGACAATCGCGAGTCGCGATTGCGAGTCGGACGTATTTCGTAGCTGTGGAATTAATTCTATTTATACGTCGCGATCAGAGTGCAATAAATAGAACATTATGCAAGTTCTAGGCAGGTAGTATATATACGGTGTCGATGAAAAATCTCATTACGTCGTCGTGTGCCGTGAGCGCGTAATGAGACTCGCTCTGCGAAAAACTGCGGGATATTTGCACGTGAAATGGGTGGTACGACGACGCGTTGATGGAAAATCTCATTACGTTACCATGTACACGTCAATGTGCGCCGAGATTTACTATCTCTGGGCAAAAGCTCAAATGTCTAGCTACAAGTTAGAAATGTTATTAAATCCGCCACTTAACGAGCAACATGTAAAATTAACAAAAATTCACATTTTAAATCAAACTTCTACTTATGGTGAAACTGTTTAATTAACGTTCCTAATATTATATGTCAAATTACATATATTATAAAGAGATCAAATAGATCAACTGTACGCGATATTGTGCTTCAAGAGAGAAAAGGAAAATAAGGCGAAGGAATTTGTAAAAGCACTCCCGGCCTGTTTCGTCATTGCGTTCCACGATTTTTTCGCGTCGACAGGGAAGGTCCCCTAGGTGTGACTCGAATTCTTCGACCTGTCCGTCTCTCTCTCTCTCTCTCTCTCTCACTCTCTCCGTCGTTACTTTCCCCGCAAATTGAACGCATCCGAGAGGCAGAGAACCTCTATTATTCTTATTGCGATACACTCGGACCGTCTCATAAATAGAGATCACCGAGTTTCGCCGTCGCGAAAAAGAGCGAAGTGCAAGAGGTGACGAATGCGAACTCGTAAGGCCGCATGGTTCCGCACAGAGAGCCTGTCGAACGTGCCGCACGCGACACACGGTGTCTCAAACCAATATCGCTACTTAGCATACGTCTCGTGAAAGTTACAACCGTGACAGATTCTTATTCTTTCTCGCAACACAGCTAAATTTAATCGTAAATTCAGAATTGTATTCATTTTATCGGTCCAGCTGCATTTTCTTATTTGCAATCGATTAACTCACAACCGCGGAATTTTCTGGAAAATGTCCCTTTTCGCGAAAAGTGAAA